TGCATTCCTGCACATAGCACGGAACACAACCGTGGACATAGCACGGATCACCACCAAAAGATCGTGGACATAAATCGACAAAATCGTGGACATTGGCTACGTAGTTCAATGTCCACTTGTCAGAGGCGCTGAAACCAGCTCAATCGCCGGTCCCCGCTAAATCGCGGGCATGGCCGCTCTCAGGATCCTCTCTGGTTGAGGTCTGTCAATCCTTGTAACATACGCGTGCGAGAACAGTTGTGTTCCTTTTTTGAAAACGTGGGACGTGGGGCGCTAGTGTACGGAGGAGAATCGTCGGTTCACCCAAATCTCAGTAACCTAACCTAACCTCAGTGTTACCCTTGACGGGCCGCGGGGAGATGAGTGATGAGTAAACTGGAATAAACATTCGCAGCGAAGCAGCACAACACCGGCACTACCGGCAGCAGTGACTCGACACATTTTGTTGTGGCCGGCTTACCCACGTTCGAGAGCAAGTGCCACACGAAGGGAGAAAACTCGACACATCACGTGAGTGAACCGCGCGAGAATAAATTGGTTAATAAAAACGCAGAAAAACGCGAGCGACATGAATACGAACGAGCGAGCCATTGTTCGATACGCTAATACACGACAGATGATAAACGAAGCAGAGAGGTTAATTCATGAAACCGAGAAGCGTCTCGAGTCAAAAAGATTTGTAGATCGTTGTTTGACGCGGATTGACGCATTGCGTAAGAAACTCGAAGATGTACCGATATTAAACAACTACGAAGAAATACCCAATCTTGCAGAGATCGATCGCGAGAGGCAAACGACGTTCAACAATCTGATGAAAGATTTCGTTACGATTTCTACGAACAATAAGACGTGCGAGGACAGTTTTCGAATTAAAGATGCACAGGGACGAGACCTATGCGACATTTATGCGATGTTTTCTACAAGAGATCTTTTGCCGTATAAAGAGCGTAGCCACCGAGCATATCGTATTATTTACGAGTTAATCAACGGACAAATTTCAAGAAAAGTCGAACGAGAGACGGAAATGGAGATCAACGATGGGACCGAGGAGGAGATAACCGAGGAGATTTCACCGTCTGGGACGACAGTCAGATCCGAGGAGACGACCGAGCACGAGAGCCAAGAGTCAGAAGATAAATCGGAGACGAGGAAAGCAACCCGATCTAGGGTGACGAAAGGCAAAATAATTTGGAATCAACGCAAATCATTATCCAGAAAGCAAATGGCCAGGGCTCAGCCGAAAGACGAGAACGGAAGATTCGTGAAAGTAGCGAAAAGCGGACTCGAAATCAAAGAAATGGTAACGTTAACTGGAGCTCAGACGATCAACGAAGGGACCAAGGAGGAGATAATCCAGGAGGCTTCACCGTCTGGGACGACAGTCAGATCCGAGGAGACGATCGAGCACGAGAGCCAAGAGTCAGAAGATAAATCGGAGACGAGGAAAGCAACCCGATCTAGGGTGACGAAAGGTAAAATAATTTGGAATCAACGCAAATCATTATCCAGAAAGCAAATGGCCAGGGCTCAGTCGAAAGACAAGAAAAGAAGATTCGTGAAAGTAGCGAAAAGTGGATCCAAAATTTAAAAAATGGTTATGCTAACCGAAGCTCAGAAGATCAAGATTGTTGAAAAACGTAGTTTAACGTCCGACAAAGCACTTGTCGTTAAACTGGCGAGGAATATGTTACCGCCACTTTCAGAGTTGGCGTCTGCATCGTCGATTTCTCGAATGAAAACCAAGGAGGACAAGCAGGAGTCCGAGGGCTCGATCCAGAGACGAGATAGAGCAGAGTACTGAGCTGAGGTCAATTCAAAGACAACAACCGGCAAAACGGACAGATGAGGAAGCGGTCCAGAAGGCGAGCCAAGGTAAAAATCCGAGACAAAAAGGACGAGGAAATGCAGAAGAAGAATGATTGCGTATTACGTATGTAAAGACAGCATCGAAATCGAAGATATTTGATTTTCTTTTTGAACTCTATTCATTTTCGAGTTGTTATTCTTTGATTTGCCGAAATGTATTTAAAAATTCATTATTCGAGTAATCGCGACCGAGCGAGAGTTTGTTCCAAGTATTTATATAATAATTATCAGTATGTTATGTTGAGCAATAATTGTGACCGAGCGAAAGTTTATTTCAAGTATTTATTTAATAATTATCAGTATGTTATATTAAACAATAATCGCCACCGAGTAAAGCTCCACTAGTATTATTAATTATTATGAGTTTCAAAAGTATGTATAAAGTATGTATGTTTCAAAAGTATTTTATACAAGAGAGAATTCGCGATCGTACAACATACAATTTTGCTAATTAGAACCGCGAGTGTAATTTCTACAATTCATTTCATTGATTTAATTTAAAAGTTTATTGAGTTTAAGAGAAGCGGACGAAAGTGTTCAGTTTTGTTTGAGTTAAAGAAGGGTTCTAAAGGCTTATATAATATGCGTACAGGTTGAATTTTACAGATTTGTATTGCGATTAATTTTGTAAGGTTGTACAGTGCTTATAATAGGCCGATAACATTGATTTTAGTCGTTGCATAATGTCGATAGTAAGTCAGCCGAGCGAGAGAATTCGCAAGTTAATATTTAATTTTGGCTGTATTTATTTAAATTGAGTATTCAAGAGGGTATATATTATTACGTTGGTAGGGCGGACGCGCGAAATGCGATCCGATGAGAAATATTTTTTTTTCGAGTACAATCGATTGGTCGGAACGACTTTTATTTGCGTAGAGATTTCAAAGTGTAGAGACAGATTAAATAAAGATTAGATGTAGGGTGATTAGAGATATTAGATATGGCATAAGTATTCGTACTTTATAAAACATTTATATGATAATCATAATTTTAATAATGTACGTATTATTCAAATATTTATGTTAATAATTGCAAATTTATGTTAACAGTCGATAACATTGACACTCTGCAATTACTTCGAGCCATTTGGCGCAAAAATTTACTCAGGATATTTGACAGTATCTCGTCTGTATTAAATACCCGCCGAAGTACGTCACTGACAGGAGCAGGCATGGCACAAGCACGAACGCATCAGTAGTTTAGTTTAGTACGAACCAGCCAGTGCTGCACTACTGCGAACTATTTCTGGATACAGTAATTATCTAAGTGCGTGTTACACTCAATCTAAAACTTTATGATATATTATACGTTTTAAGAAACTTTGTATGATAATACGATAGTGCCTCTCGAACGGCAAAACTCCGTTTTGTGAATGATTCCTACAAACGAATGACACTAAATGTACCACAGGACAGAAGACGCGAAGCATAATATTAGTTGTTGAAAAAGATCGACAGATGTAGTAATCAGGTGCACTACGCCGTAACTTTGCGGGAATTAAACTCCTTTATTAATGAACAAAATATAACCTAAAAAGTGTATGATATTAAAGCGAATAGGATAATTCAGGTACCACTAAAAGATTTTAGAAGGGCGTTTAAGTGATTACTATGATTCTGTTCAGTGCCTGTTGACATAAGCTGTCAAATTATGCGTATTTTTTCAGCAAGGACACAGTGTAACATATTAGTGAATGATTTTATCTTTTTCAACATTAGCAAACAACAAGGACATTATGATTTACTGTGTTACATTGGCTTCTTGCTGTAAAACGCATTATAACAGATTACATTGATAGAATAAATACAATTTAATATAAATGCAATTTTAATTTCAATTTTATTTGTAGTATATATTTTGGCATGCTACTAACATTTTGTTTATTGGTGCTCTCTACATCGTAGTGAGATATCTGATTAAGTACATTCAGGAGAAAAAGACAAGAGACAAAAATATTAGAAGTATAACTGTAAAGATATATTATTATATGTAGAATAATTGTGCAAAGTATCAATTACTTTTACTTATTTTAAATGATCACGTTTTCTGCTATAACAACTGTAATAATCATAACATGATCATTATTGCGATAGCTACAGTAACTGAACTATTTTACATTTTGTAGAGACTGTACGTATCATATCTTTGCATCGATTTCCATATTATCGCGAGATACGCAATATGTACATTAATTCCAATTTTTATGAAGTGGTTTTCTTCACAGGCTTTTAAAATTGTGTAATCAGATCTTATATTATGTTTGGCTATGCATTTTTATTATCAATTTGATTTAACAATTGCCTAATCAGTGAATTTAATTTTATATCAGTTCCTTTATCTAGTTTAGTTGTTATATCAATATATTGATATATATTTTTTTTTACAGAATGCTGTGGAGACAGTTTATTCGTAGTGCTCAATTGCGTGTAACAACGCGGTGCTTCACTCGTAGCAGTATTATACGAGAAACTAACAAAACAGATAAAATTCCTGCACAAAAAAGCAATACAACTGATGGTGTCATTGGTAAAGATCGAGTTTACACACAAATAAAAAATAAATTTTTTAAAAAACTCTATATAAATTAATTTCTTATGTATGTGCACGTTTTCGTTTTAGGATCACGTATGTATCGTGTAACTGATTTTGACAAGAAAATACTAGTTTGGGTAAAACGATATCCGAGCATTGCAGATGTTCCTAAGGATGTTACGTATGTGTTACATCTATATTTATATCATGAGATTGTCCAAAGAAAACAAATAGAAATTTAATACAAAAACATATATTGTGATATATTTGACATTGACTTGTGTTTAGAAAATTTTAACATTGGTCATCAGAATTAAATAAGAAATGAGACTGTTAATGTTATTTCCGAAAATAAATTATAGATTTTTTAAAAACAACATTTTTGACATTTCATGAGCTTCTTTTGTGATCGACTTATTTCATATCATTTAATAAATAAATATTTTCTTAAACAGAGTGGACTGCATACTTACTGCGAGGAGTAAGGCACGAATCAAGACTTGTAATTATATGATTGTTGCTACCATAATTGGTTGTATAATATCTATAATGCTTGGAAAAAAAGACGCTGCAAAAGGAGAAAGTTTACTTAAACAAAGAGAAGATTGGCTTCGGGAAAGATTGGCAGAAGAGAAAAATAAATAATTATGTAAATACTCAGGAAATGTAGAAATCTCTTTAGGATAAATTTTTTTCTGAGAAGCGCAGACAAATATTATAAACGTTATCAATCGTTTTTGTTTCAAAATGATATTTCCACAATGATATTTTAAAAATATTTTTGATAAAGTAATAAACATTTAGTTTTGATTGGTTTAATGATTTGTACTAATATATAAGGCTGTCCCTTAAAATGGCAATCTTTCGTAATAACACAGCAGCAAAATACATACTATGTATATACAAACATTATTGCAAAATTATATTTTATTTACATTTATGTAAATTATTGATTTATGTATACTGTATATAATCAATGTCCGATTCTCATTAGATTTAGTAAGCATTGTAATTGCTTATACAATGTAAAATATCTGAATATACAATCTCCTTAAATTGCGTTACTTTCCTTGTACAACTGTTCTTGTACATAATGAATAATTACAATAAATCCTGAGAGAATCGGTATATATATTGTACATCATAAAATAACAATGATTCAAGAAACAACGTATTGACGTTTACAAAATTACTATGTATAGCTATACTGTAACAATTCAAAGATAATAGCGCTCAAATAACCATACACCAATTCAAATTATTTGGGAAGTCTATGCGTTTGTGTGCAATGATGGCTTATAGAATCCACGGCATCTCTCGTAATAAACTTGTATCGTACGTTTCTTTACAACCTCCTCTATGTTGAGCTCGGACTGTAACAATCTCAATTTGGTCTGTTCATTTCTCAAATCCTTTGCTAACGTTAGACTTTCATCACCGTTCTTCTCTCTCAAATCCTTCAACTGCATCACCCTTTTCTTGGTGATGTTCACGCATCTTGTGATCGCTTGCGTCCTTTGATTATGCTCGGATTCTATTTGCTGGAACAAGTCTTTACACTGCGTGGTAGGATCCACCTGGCCTTTGAACGACTCGGTAGGAATTGTGGTGTTGAGCATGTAAATTATTTTATCATCTATCTGTCGCATCCTTCTCAACGTATCCTGAAATACACACATGGTATGTTTTTACTACTCACTTATTTATTTAATCCGAACCAAATTATGTATTGATATTTTCAAAAAATAACATAAAGATTTAGAATTCAGGTATGGAGAGTACTATGGATGAGTTATATATTTAGGCTTTATATACACATAATATATTTCCATTGCACTTTGCTAACCTCACGTGCACGTTCCTAACCTCTCAATAAAGCTGTCTGTATACAAAAATGTGTCTAGAAAAAGACATGACTTTAATAATAACGTTGAAATTTTACGCATCGTTAATTTCTAAATAATCTTTTCTGTGGCGCAGCATACTTCTTTTATATTATAATTTGTAAGATATCTAGCCGGCATTAATTATGAAGAATTTTTACGAATGTGTTACTTTAAGTTGACTTAAGCATTGTTAAATGTATATATATTTATTATACTCGTATAACGCGGTGTGCGAATGCATGAGTGTTATGTAAGTCGCGCTTTCAGAAATACCTGAAATTCTAAAAAATCGCTACACTCCACGTTCGTGGCTGCCATTTTTTTTTAGGTTGGGAAGTCGCACAACCACAGTCACAGATCGCACGACGCACAGTCGCACATATGACTACATATCTACATATAGTTTGAATGAGAATATGAAATTCATTGCAAGTGGAATGGAAGGAATGATAAAAGAATTTTTTAAATTAAAATTGGTTTTATTTTTCAAATTACATTTTTTTCGATGAATCAATTGACATGATTTATTACGATTATTATTATTACGATTATTTTGATCAGTCATTTAGTCAATTTTCTTTGATAAAATTATAGAATGCTATAGAAATCTTACAAATTTTAAAATAGTTCAAAATTTATATGTTTAAAGAATTCTAGAAAATATTTAGATTTTCTCGGTACTTTTAAAAAGTGTTTTAATTTTATTATATAAAAAGTCTGAAAAATTTTTTTAAAAGTTATACAATTACACAGAAATTTTGAAAAATTTTGAAATTTACATAAAAGAAAAATTATATGCAGAATTCTAAAAAAAATGTTTAGCATAATATTTTATAAATCATGTCGAATATATAGATTATAGAGATATGTTTGCTTAGCAAATATCGATAAGTTCACTTCTTTGATCACTATCGATATTTCGAGAATCGCAATACTCTCGATAAATTCACAATCAATGGTTTTTGTACTGTTAGTACATAATAGACTGTTTACACGGAACTGACGGAACGCGCATCGCGCCGCGAATGATATTCGAATCGCTCCGTATAATATATGTATTTCTGGTGATTATTGCTGCAAAAGTGAATTTCGCGCTCGAGAAATCATCGCGTATGCCGTATATCTCATGAATTATTAGACGTTCGGCGTAAGGCAGATCCCATGCAACCGTCGAGAGCAATACTGCAACTTTAGATTCGGCGATCGAGCCTGCAATGTACATATAACCGCAATCCCGTTCTTTCGCCGTTGAAGTATACAATCATCGTTCGGTATGCATGTATGTACATAATTGTTTTCAGCTGTAAGTAGTTGCTTATCTATCGATATTTTTATATTAATATTAATTCCAATATTGAAGAATATTGTATATAGGTATACAATAAGTGCACACGGCGCGTGCACGACCGTGTGTATCGTACATATGTGTGCAGTATGGTTACATATATATTATGACGTATATCTTATGCTATGGTAAATATTTTATTACAATTAGTTCGTTGTTTCGATAATTCTCATGCTAATTCGTCTTGTTTCGATCATCTCTAATTTTCATATTACATGCAATATGTCAAACTTTATTTCTACATTAGTTTCATATATATATATATATATATATATATTGATGGATACATCTTTAAACTTTTCTCTTCATAATGAATAAAATAAAACAACACGTGAAAGGATAAATAATTGGGAAAAACTTCTACAAAAATTTTAATTTTATAAAGGATTTAAGTCTATTCCCGGTGCTAATTAAATGACAATTAAAATGTAAACACAAATAATAAGAGAAAAAATATTATTCCTACATATTCTTGTGCTGAGTATTGTAACTATATATCCACTTTTCCAATAATTGTTAAATCTATCACTGCCTATGCAGGGAATATGCAAAAAAATTTGAACATATTGTATGAATTTTTTATTTAATTATATACAATTATAATAGTAAATATGATAGAATGCAATACAGCAACAACTTTTTGATCATTTTAATTCATTATATTAGCTAGCTTTTCTTAATTGTTGCATTTATTTTTAAAACACTGTTATATATTTATGGATAGTAACAATTAATTTATTGGAAAACCTGAAATGAGATAATATATAATGTGATATAAATATAAATCACACAAATGTGATGAACCCTTAAACCATTATAGAAATCTATAATCTAACACTGGAAATTATTTATTTTGTGTATTAAAAGCACCGTTTGTTCATTAATCACTGTTTTTCCAGTGCTAAATTTCTGTAAAAGAAGAAGGAAAATATTCTCAATAACGTTTAACGTTTGGCTGAAGTTAAGCTCCTAAGGTTGTTAAGTCTTCCGTCATAATTGCTACAGCTTCAGAAGAAATAGGTTTAAGTGGTGCACGAGGTAGCCCTACATTAATGTCAGTAAGAAGAGTCATTGCTACTTTCATAGTCTGCACCCAGTTACCTGCAAATAATTGATTCTTGTAACGGTGCACTTCGTCATACCCAAAAATGTACTTACCATGCTTCGTTATAGCATTCACAATGCTTGAAAGCTTCTCTTGCATATCTTTAGCCCTTAATATATTTCCTTTCTTGAAAGCAGCAAGGAGATTTAATACAAATTCCGGAAACATGTTTATGCTGGTTACTATGAAGGAATCCATCCCCAATGCACATGCAGCATTTATTAACTAGAGAACCAGACCAGATCGAATACATTAATTTGTATTATATTGGACTAAAAAACTGGATAGAAAATAAGACAGAAAATAATCAGTATATTTTAACTGATATTAGGATTAGCATCTAATTAGTGACTAGTTACTATTTCTGACTTTATTTTCTATTCAAGGAGCGCTAGGCCTTACGCTTACTTTAGTGCGAATTAACTTATTTATCTAATTATTACCTGATCATTGCCAAGGAAAATAACATATTTCCTATTATCGGCACGTAACGCTTGTGCTCCTTCCTCTAAATTGGCACTGGTGAATTTTATACCCACGAACGAGGGTATTTTGTCATCAATTGATTCAAGAAACTGTCCCATGTGTACTACAAAATATTTATATGATACTTAATTATATTGCGAGAGATACGTATATATAACGGAATATCAATCTTATCAATTATGTCAGTTGATTATATCCAGTATAAGTATTGAAACGTGGAATGATCGCTTACTGTTAACATTACTCAACATAGGAATATGATAATATAATAATGGTGTCTTTGGCGCTGCCTTTCCAACTATTTTCAAGTATTCAATCAGTTCTTTAGGAGTAGTAGGCTTGAAGTACAATTCTGGTAAGCAGAGTATAGAATCCACTTGCATACTACTTGCGTGTTTCGCCTATGAGTTAATTGTTATCATTTTATTTAATCGCAGAAAGTAGGATGAATATTATTCTCCTTATATGTTAGTATATAACACTTACAAGTTCAATAACATCGGGAAGAGGTGCACCTCCTACTTGAATCATCAAGTGTTGCTTTGTTTCTTTCACTGCCTTTACCCAGGTTTCGGTAATGAGTTTCCTCTCGGCAACAGACAATGACGTTCCCTCACCGCTTGTACCATTAACTGGGAAAAAAGATATGATATGTAAAAATTATTATTTTGTTTAAAATAATTATTATATACATTTTTTTTAAATAATTTTTATGCAAAACTTAATTTTTTGACATAAATTTAATAATGCTAATAATGTTATTAAATATTATTTTAATATTTAAAAATTAACTTTTAAAGATGACTTACCAAGAATACCTTTGATCCCTTTCTTTGCTAAATATGTCGCATATTGTGATATAATATCCAAATTAAGAGATCTGTTAAATAAATATGGGTCATTAGAATTTAGTTTAATAATACGTGTTAATAGAGTTTATGGAAGTTAATTACCCATCGCTATTGAAAGTAGTAAATACGGGAACAATAAGACCTCTGTAGGTATACGATAATCGCTGCAATTATAAAATAAATTTAATATAAAAAATTTTTATAATTTGTTTTATTTAATTTTACATTCGATATATCTTGTGAACACTTATATCCGTTTTCGAAACTATTAATTTTCTTTGTATACTTGTCTTGTTCCCTATTCAAAGTATTCAAATAATAAAAGTGATATTGGATATAAAAAAATTATATGTCGCGGCTTTTTAATTAAATTTTTATTTTTTATTTAATAAGTATTTTTTAAGAATAGGAAGTGCAACAAAACCGTCTTAAATAAAAATTCGAGTTTTCTTTATTTCTATGTGCTTTGTTCATAAATAATGAATAAAATTTTGGAATGAAATGCAGTAGATCTCTCTATTCTGATTGTATTCTACGGGACTAATAATTATTTTTTATTTTGGAATCTCTCTACAATTTTCATGAGAAATCAAAAATAAAAAAGGATTAAACTAAAGAAAAAAAAAATTCTGCAGGAATTAAGATTTATCTGAAAAAATAATTTCTTCATAACAATCACGATTCGTATTTCTTACGTTGGAAAATAAATATTACAATATGAATTTTGATATTTTTAATTAGGAATCTATTTGTATTTAATAGTTATTCTCACTGAGGCTAATGACTGGCACTTAAATGTGGTGCGATTAGAGAATTTCTGAAAAATATGGCTAGTGATTTTTACTCAAAATTTCACGTGACGTACGCATGACTACCAGCATAATTGATATCTAGTGCAGTAGTATATATAGCATAATAATTCCAGTTGAGAATTTTTGAAAGAGCTACATATATTGCATTTGCCTTATTTTGTGTAATTACGTAATATCAAATGATTAAAAACCGAGTACAAAGCTAAGATTACATTAATTAAATGTCTATATTCGTTTGTTCGACTACATGTGTGTTGAATGTCATGAATTAATATCTGCATATACTCACGGACATTGTGTTTATAAGCGCGATAGTATAACCTCTGTAACCTTATGCGAGCAGCGATGCGAAAAGAACTAAACAGCAGTAAGACCGGTACTCATAGTTTGTTTTCCATTTCTTATATTTAAGAACGTCTTAAGTGTCATAAACCAATCACAAAATACCGAGCATCTTGAGCATTAGTGAGTAAGATATGATTTGAAATAAGAACGGTCGACTACATGAATACTACCTTAAATATTCTCTTTCCCGTCGAGTACTGATAAGATAAATAGCCATTTTGTTTGTGTAACATTAACGTCTGCAGTACACACATAAATATCGCATAGTCATAGTCGATATCGAATGTTTGTTTGTTGTATGTCGTATATCAGATTTTAATACGACAGCTATTCTAAAATTAAGTTGCAGTATAGATTGAATAACAGTAATAGATAATGTAACTTTAGTAACTTTTTATTCAAATTTATTATTAAATTGTGTGGATTCAAATTATACGAATTAGATTATTTTATGGTAAAAAAATATATATATTGTTTATATTATATTTATTTATTTAAGTGCGTGTAGCAGCAATAGGTATGCTACGGAGAGAGAAGGGCTCCGTCTTTTCCCTTGCATTCTCGCTCCGAAAAAACCTGATCTAATCCACTGAGAGAGTCCCGTTAACGTACATGATATAATATACATATATTATGTGCGTGGTGTATGCGTGTCTGTATAGATGCGTGCGTGCATACCGGCGCGGGCGTGGATGTGTTTTATATTATGTGTACGCTATCGGGATATGCGCTAACGGAACCTTCATATCCAACCTATATTTTACTATGAATTTTATTCATATATATATATATATATATATATATATATATATATATATATTTGAAAATGCACTTGTTAAAGTTACAGTGAGATTGGGTTAAATTAGATTTTGTTCGAGATGGGAATGTATTATAGGAAGATGTTTTGTTTTTTCCCCGCCCATAAGCATATCTACACATGAACAAATTATAATATGTTTTAATATTGATATAAATTGTAATAATTTTCAAATTCCTTTTATTAATAAGTATTTAATGAACAATGACTGATGACTGAAATCTTTGAAACATTAATCCAGCTGTTATGACTTTCTAACAAAGTCAAATTCATCAGAAAGAATCTTTGTAGGTTTGTTATCTATTTCCTGCACTGACCTGTATAGACCTTCTTCTTCGCTTTTGCCAAATAAGCTATTTACTTTATAGAGAACAGCTCCTTTTCAGCAGTTTGACTTATATATCTGTTTTCAAAAAAATATATAATAAATTTGTTACAGTAGCAAAAATGACGAAGGATCATAAATCATTTAGCGTTAGACATTTATTTTATCTAAATTCTCTTTATTTACAAATGGTACGCAGGAAACTTCAATATCATTTAAATATTAATAACGTCACAATTTGTTGTCAGACAATACTACACAAAGCTCTATTTTTATTGCCAATTTGCTATATTTTTGTTGTAGCATTTGCACATACAAAACGTACATGTATTTACGTACAATTAATGCATCGCATAAGTATGCGTATACACGATATGAATGTACATATGTATATATAATACAATGTACATATTAGGAATATTCTAATGATTTGTATCTATTAATTTTAATATCAAAATATAGTAACGAAAGAATATATAATGATTATATAATGATTTATATCTCAATTTTATACGAGTAGATAAATGTCCCTTTAAATGCACATTTATGTTAATATTATACTATAGTATCTTGTTAATAGTATACTATAGTAACACGAGAAATATATTTAGTACAATATTGTTTAAATCTTTTTCTTAAAAAAAAGTTATATATATTTCAATATGAATAATATTACAAACTCACGTCAACTAAAATAAATTTATACCGCATTCATATCTCACTTTTATCAATAAATGTATTCATTTATTTCTAAGATACTATATTATAGTATCTTACTTTTCTTAGCATATCTCACTTTTATCAATAAATGTATTCACTTATTTCTAAGATACTATATGTATAGCATCTTAGAAATAAATGAATGCATTTATTGATAAAAGTGAGATATGAATGCGGTTTGTATAAATTTATTTTAATTGACGTGAGTTTGTAATATTATTCATATTGTAATATATATAACTTTTTTTTAAGAAAAAGATTTAAACAATAATATTGTACTAAATCTATTTTTCGTGTTACTATTTTTTGCTTAAAATTATTACATGTTTTTTAGTTGTTTTGATAATTTTTAAATCTATTTTTGTGCAACAAAATATTCCTCATGCGACATATATCACGCTTCCAAATACGATATCATGCTTATCTAACTATAATATTATTTTCTTAACTGACGCGTGCACTTTTGCATTTTGTTTTACCTGTTTTGAAAAGATTTTAATTTTTTAATTCTTGTACTGAAAAACATCATATCAACATTACAAAGTTCAAAAGAGTTCAGAAGTTAAGAAATTATTTACGTTTCCCAGAATACGTGACATCATAATGTTAAGTATATATAATTATTTTGTACCATATTATGCTGATAAACATCGCCAAAAAGAATACGAAATGCCAATGCAGGCCTACATACACGATGGCCTCGTCTACTCTCGCTAAACCAGGACACGCGTTAAAGTCACCGCGAGCTGCAGATGTTGCCTACGCAAGGATATTAAGATTACGCGGCGTCACAGGCGTCAGGATGCGTCAAGATCAATGTCCATATCCGTGCATTCACTGGAATTCCACCACCATTCGAATTTTAAACTTTACGTCAATATAGGACTGTAGCCACATTATCGAAGGCCCTTATTCTCAAAGTAGTGACGCGAAATAGAAGCGATTGTCATTAGACTGAATCTTAAAGCGTGTCAATGGTATGCAACCATGTTATCTTGCCTAGATGCGTCTTACAGCGTAAACGTTTGTATTCATTAAAAGCTTCACCGCGTTGCCATTCAAGCCAGAGTTTATGCTTGAATTAAATAAGCTTATAATTCGGATCCCAGATGAACAGCTACTCCAAAAATTGGAGTACTCCAAAAATTCTACCAAATATTTTTCTGTGAGAATAATTAAATTTTGATTCGCATACGAATCTGACGATACGGAGCGCACATTGCATGTTGCAAACTGGACATTAAGCGTAATAAAAAAAAAAGAAGTCATGTATTTCCCGACAGGAAGCCGGGATTTTCGTGAGATGAGAGCTCTATCTAGCCGATGCATTATGGCGTCATTTTTATCTAACGGTAAAGATCGTCGTGGCCCGTCGACACGGCGGAGACGCGGTGGGGGCGGAAGGGAAACCTGCACTGCCCGGTTTCTTGCAGCCATGATTGGTAGTGGCCGTCAGTACTTGCTTAACCGTTGGACTGTTAGTAAGCGCGAATACGCTCTCCAAGCACTTGGGCTCACCGATTTGGCGTCTCCCTCCGCGTTCACCTCCCGCGCGTCGCACGGAGAGACGCAGAACGCCGACGACCGTCTACGGTGATCCTCCCGGTCTACGACGATCGTTCGGGTCCGGTGATTTTCCCTTGGTGCGGAGGAAGTTCATCCGCTTCCGTCTCTGGCCAGGTGAGTCACCGAGACGAATTATTTCGCGCGATGACGCGACCTCCTTTGCCTGATGTCCTCGCAGGTAAAGAAATCTTCGGCCCTTTTTTCGTCGGAGTGACCTCGGTGATAGCGCAGGTTCGCGGCCGTATGGTCACTCATTGTCAACGTACACCTCGGGATCGGGCCATCGTTCTCTTTTCTTTTTTCCTTTTTCCTCCGCGATTTTGCCCTGAATCCCCCCCGACTCGGTGAAAGTTCCAAAGTCGTAGCGACGAATCGCTCGGGATACTTTCATTGCGGCCAGCAATTTGCGGACCTAACTATATGCCACCGCTGCCTGACGGCAGCTGAATTTAATCGACGGGATCGACGTTCAGGGACAGATTGTTGAGTCGAAATTCACCGGTCTCCCAATTTACGAAGTAAACCAGTGGAAAGTAGAATGGCCTAATACGAATATACTTTCGTGCTGAGAATTTCGCTCTATTATCATATACAGGGTGTCCCACTTCCCGCGCATTGTTTTAACGACAGGATCTTTTGATTAATTTGAGGTCGATCTTTCCTTGGCGAGATTGTCAAGAGAAATTAAAATTTATAGTGACTTTCCAATTTAGCTTGATGTACATATCTACAAAACTAAATCTTGAATAAAAATTAGCACTATCTGGAATGTTTAATTAAAAGATATAATCTTGTTGTTTGTCTTTGTAAAAAATCCTTTCTTTCAATTGGTTTCGCAACTCGGAAATTATTATTTTCTTTATACATTGTCGTTAATGAAAAATTTAATATTAATAGAAAGTCTTTTAATAAACTTTTCACTGTTATTAATCTTCTTTTTGATATATTACTGGTATTATAACATATTACAAAAAATACATGTTAAAATATGCAAAATGATAAAACATAAAAAAATTAAACGATTAAGTTTTGTATAGGGAGACCGTTAATGTTATATCTACATACAAAAAATTAAAAATTATCAATATGTAATTCTAAAATAATTTATTTTAACGATGCACGTACATGATACATATCACATTTTCGATACGATAAATATAATTAAGAATATCTCGCAAACTAGAATTTAAAATACCTATGACCATGCATGTCGTATATCTTGTTTCTTCGCCAAAGAAGCGGAGCGAGTGCACAGGTGTCATGTGCAATTAAATCCTACTAATGTTACGAAGCTCTCAGCATTAAGAACGTAATTCGATCTTGGATTTTTTGCTTGCAGTATTTAATTTAATGCTACTAACTGCTTTTTCGCAAAAAAAATGAAACAATGTAAGAAAGCTAAGTTTTCTTGGACTTTTTAGTTCTATTTAATCCAAATGAATTTAGTGTCGTCTTGAAGTGAAGAATATTGATCAGATAATAATAAAAATATAATGAGCACACAGATTATTGAAACAAAAATATAATTGATAATTTAACATATTAAAACTATACTTACTAAATTAAATTTTATTACTCGAATTCTTTCTCTCTTCTTTTTGTATAAATTATTAACGCTATTAAAAATCTTAATAAAGTTAATGAATATAAAGTCAAAGTAACAAAGATAATTTAAATAATTTAATAAATTTACGCTTTTAGATAATACAAATAATTAGAGTTGAGGAAGTATTGTATTGTCAATAGATATTCCTGAATCATAAAAAGTAACATTGATTTAAGTAACTGACATGTATTAAGTATCCTGAGTATACTTAAGTAGCTATTAAATTATATCAAAAAGTAGATAAGAAGTTATTTTGCGTTTTATGACTGCAATTGTAAAAGAAAACGTTCGGATACTTCATCGAGATACGATCGTAAGTTCATCTTTTTATAATGTTTGTTTAATGTTTAAAGTTTAAACAGAATGCTGTGCACGCTATGGAGCACACTTCTGTACTCGCTATGATGGAGCAAGCTTCTAAATATAGTAGGAATTTTGCATTCACATCGCTACACTGTGACGTTTAATTATTTTTCTGCAAAATACATGTATGAATAACATGAACATTTGTAAAGCAATACATAAGCTGAATATGAGCACACGAATATGACACTTAGAAAATTTTTGTTGAATAAAAACGTTTTCGTTAATACGAGTTATTATATAACACGCGGACGTAACGTGCAAAAAGTATTTCCGTATGTTTTGCCGGAATTCCCCAGCTTTTATCTCTCTCTCTCTTTCTCTTTCCCTCTTTCTCTCGGCTGCTGTTCTGACATCACAATTCGACACGGCTATATCGAGACTGTATTATTAGTTCGAGGAATAATCGGTCACGGTATTTATCCGTCGTCTTTTTCTCTCCTCTCACAACCGGCAATTACTTCATTCGGATTGTAGCTTCAAAATTAACGATGACGGATTATACATAATGGACTCCCGGAAAAACCGGTATTGTGACCAACTAAGGCTTTCGCAAAGGAGGGAAACTACACGCCGACATAATTATGGGCATCTCTGCGCATCGCGGTGTGCATTGTGTCACTTACGTACATAATGACATTTAATTACTCGTAATGTTTAACATTCTTGACTTTTATGTGTTCATTTTGCGTCTCTATCGCTGCCTTCCGAGTTTTCACTCGTAATATGTTCGCAGAAAAAAAATTATGATTGATTATCGTCGTTATTGCAAAGTCTTCGAAGATAATTCTACGGAAAAAAACACAAATTGTCTATTATTTCGTTGTTCATGTTCTTACAAACGATATAAGATATTTTTTAAAGATACGATTTTAATTGCATTGAAAATAAAATTGGGATAAATTTTACATTCAAATTACATTCAAACTTCGAATTTCTTCCGTAAATATAAAGGAACGTATTAATTTTTCAAAGATGTTTAAATATCCTTTAGATTTTCATTTTAATTACAAATATACAATATTTATTGCGATAATATTTATAACTGTGCATAATCGTATATTTTATCAATTGCATTAAATACAGCAGGCTTTCCTTCATCGCAGGTCCTTATCTTGGAACATGGAATGGCTAGGCATTCTATTGTTATCGGGAATAATCTCAAATGTAGTTGCAGAACCGTAAGTATAAATGTTACTCGGTATAAGTATAGATATTAATCGGATATTATCATCAGATATACCCCGTAACTTTTGTTGAAAATGATTTATCAAGATCATGATGCCTTATAATACCCGTGTTGCATTACAATCTATGAAAACCCAACGTGTTTGATTCTATTGTAACGTGGGATAATTTCTCAATGTTAACAATACTAACTGTAGATACATAAGTTTTTTTTTTAACAAGTTCGAAGAGAATAGAGTGGAAAAGTTGAAACGAGGCAGATTCTTATTTCTCCTTTAAGGTATTACACTATTATTGCGCCGAAAGTGGTACGTCCTGATTCGGAATATCATGTAGCGGCAAGTATCACCGGCGTATCGACACCGTCAATGATATACGTAGAACTGACTGGTGAACTCGATACGGGAAAAATATTCAACATTTCTCGGACCGCAAGCGTGGAGCCTTATTCCACACAGATTTTGCGATTAGACGTACGTATGAATTAATGTGTAGTGGAGTCCTATACATTTTTGTAACAGCCTATATAAATTTTCTTATTACTTAAAAAAAAATTATCGATAAACTGATTATTTAGATCTAGTGATTTAACATTCATATTATTGATTTTGTTTACGATCGTTAGATCGGCGAAACCACGCCGGGAAAATACAAACTCACAGCGCGCGGTCTGTCCGGTATTGATTTTTTCAAATCGAAGGATATCGAGTATGTGCATAAAAGTTACTCCGTCTTCATCCAGACCGACCGGGCGATTTATAAACCCGGTCACAAAGTTATGTTTCGTTGTATAATACTGGATTCGAGGCTGAGGCCGAGTATCGTGGGACCAAAGGACGTGTACATTGTCGTAAGTACATACAGCATATGTCTATATCTTTTGCCGTAAAACTTTTAATGTAAACTTGTGTCGTGTAAACTTTGATGCGTGTAATAGTAAAGTAATAAATTAATTTTTCTTGAGATTACACAAATGTTGTACAATTATAACAAAACAATACTTAAAAATAATACTTAAAAACAAATACGTAAGAAAAAATTTACTGCAGGATGGCGACGGTAATCGTATCAAGCAATGGATTCGGCCACCAGTGACTCACGGTATTTTCGGCAGCGAATTGGAATTGTCGCATTCACCGGTATTAGGCAAGTGGAAGCTTATCGCCAATGTCGGCGATGAGACGTTTGAAAAGGAATTTGAAGTCGCGGAGTACGTTCTGCCGAACTTTGAGGTGACGATCGACTCGCCGAAGCACGTACAGTTCAAAGAATCAAAAGTTACAGCAACCGTCCACGCAAAGTAAGCGACTATATTCCAGCAACAATTAATAAGGACGATAAATTAGATTTGCAAAAAACTCCCTTTGTTAATAAATCTCTATATGAATCTTGTGTTCCTATATAGCAGAGACAGACTTTGGAGATAGATTTTTTTTAGCTCTTTCTCAGAAAATATTAATGCATTAAAATATTAATTCATGATTATTTAGAGAATCAATAATTAATAATTTGAGGTATTTGACTCTACTTAAGCGACATTTGACCGAAAGTATTCATTTGTAAGTACATAATTTAGGTATACCTATGGAAAACCGGTAAAAGGTGAAGCTACGATAACAGCTTATCCAGATATATTTTCTGGCGTAATTCAACCGATATTCCAACAACCAGTGCGAAAAGTGTTACCGATTAACGGAAAAGTAACAGTCGACTTCGATATACTGCAGGAATTAAGGTAAATCCAATAATATTGCATTGTAATAATACGTATAATGTGTTTCGGAATTTTCCTTTTACTTTTCGAAATATTGCAGCATTGAAAGAAATTTTCTGTTTAAAATAAAAAAAATTACAATTAAGAAATAATATAAATTCTGTAATCACAATAAAAATTGCAAAAACAGGAATATGACAAAAAAATTACAGGCTTATTTTACTTACTTATTTAGTGTTTCAAACTTTGAATTGTAAAACATTATGCATTATTCAACGTATATTGTATCATATGCATACGTTATCTTAGATTGACTGACGAATATGAAAGGCCAATTATGATTGACGTGGTGGTGGAAGAAGAATTGACTACTAGAAGGCAGAACGCCTCGACACAGATAACGCTACATAAACACAAGTACACGATGGAATTAATAAGAACATCGGAATATTTCAAGCCGGGGCTAAAATATACCGCTTTCGTAAGTCAAATGTCTTATTGTAAGACTCAACAAGCAAATTTGAATACATAGACGCATTATGCAACGCATTATGTGTGTTACTATATTATCTTTTGCAGTTGAAATTTACATATCATGACGGATCGCCAGTACAAGACACCAAAAACGACGTCTTGATAGCGTATGGATATACGTATAATCAATCGGCGTATTCAAATCTCACACGAAAATTAGACGAGCACGGTATGGTGCAACTGGATTTTTATCCGCCTAAGGCAAAGAACAACATCTCTTTCCCCCTAAATATAGAGGTAAAGTTGTCAAGCATCTCTTTTCCTCTAGAAGTAAAATTATCAATTATCTCTTTATGTTGCGATACCTAATGTTTGTATATAACACGCAGGCACAATACTTAAATCTTCATGAATGGTTCCCTTCAACTAATCAAGCTATGTCCGCGAGCAATGAATACATCCAAGCAATTCTGAAAACGGAAAAACCAACGGTATATATCCATCTATTATTTTATCTATTATTATTACGTTGAAACTTTTCAATTATAATATTCTCACTATCTTTTAATCTGCAAGGTGAACAACTACGTTGAAATCGAAGTCAACTCCACCGCTCCGTTGAAATACATGAGTTACGAGATACTCGGTCGCGGTAATATTTTAGATGCAGGATCGATCTACGTGCAAGACAAGTACACGACATCATTCAAGTAAGTATTTAAAGTATTAAGGAAGCTTAGAAGAGTGCGCGGAGTTTTCCGATAGTCGAATTTTAAGTTCTTTGAATCTTTCGGATGACCGAATAGATAATTTACAATCTTGAGATTTGAAAGCCTCTGATCGTAGCGATTCGAAACTGTCGACTGAGTTTCAGTTTAAAATTAATATCTTACATTGATTTAAACACATTCCAGATTTTTAGCGACATACGTCATGGCACCTACTGCGCACATAATTGTATACTACGTACGGACAGACGGAGAAGTAATTGCGGATTCGTTAGACGTTGAACTCTCAGGAATACTTCAAAATCACGTGAGTTATTACACCAATTCCGAGACATCTAAGTCGTTCATCGGTCTACATTAGAGAGTGGATGGATAATATGTATTGTAATCCGCATGCTTTTATAGGTCGATCTTAAAATGACACCTGGCGAAGTTATGCCCGGGGAAAGCGTTAATCTCGTGATATCCGCGAAACCGAATTCCTTCGTTGGATTGCTAGGCGTCGATCAGAGATCCCTCTTGCTGAAATCTGGAAATGATATCTCTTATGTACGTAATATTTTATATATTAGATAAATATTTGTAAATTTCTGATTTCACGCGTAATTTATTCTGACCGCATTCATTAATTACACGCAGGATCAAATATACAAGGAGCTGCAGTCGTACGACAAGGCAGAAGCATCGCCACACTCAGATGGGTTCTTCGGTCGTCCCCTCTGGAGACCTGGCTCGGGAACAGCGGACGACGTGTTTCAAGTAAAATATGCCACGACATGCTTTTATTAGCTCTTCCATTGTTATCCGATAATCAGATTAAAATAGCAAATGTCTCTAAACAGAAAACTGGCGTGGTAATCCTCACAAACGGATACGTCCACGAGAACTTCCCTGTGCGTAAGTATTATCCTCGTAAGTATTCTTATAAATGAGTAAATTTAAGATAGTTATATTTAGTGAAAGAACTAACGCGCACTTAAAAACATAACGCGCACACTTATTAAATATAAAGTACATCTAAATTAAAGTATTTTTGTAGAATATGCGACACATCAGATAACTATGTTCCAACTTACGCATAATATAGCATGAGAATAACATCTTACAATTAGTTTCTCGATTTATTCTCTTAATCAGTAACGACCGTTGAGCCGATCTCAGTCAAATTAGATATACATTTTTTTTTAACCGAGCTTATATGTGTGTAGTATACTACAGATCTAGTCTTGATGACGTGATGTATGCATCCGCTGCGGGATTCTCAGGCCCGGCTGCTGCTGCATTACCACCCGAGAAGGTCAAAGTTCGCAAGAATTTCCCTGAAACTTGGCTTTGGCAAACGCTTGACGCTGGGTAATGCCAATGACGTAATAAATTATCATGCACATACACTATCATTCTACATATCTACTCTACTTTAAATTTTGTAAACAGTTACTTGCTCACTTGGATATATTGCATAACAAAAATCATTCCATACTATTTCGTAGCATCTCTTTAATGCGTTTTCAAAGTCACTATTTTATCTTATGATAATATGATCTTTGAACCAATAATTTTGGTAGAAAAATCGATAATCAGTCTACACTCATATACTGCATAAAATATTAACACGTAGAATCCGTACAACAACAGATAAATAACACAAACTAGAACGCTTCGCATTAAAGTTACGCGTCGAAGTTGTTGCGGTGGGAAATGAGACTGGGTAATTTGGTGGCGGAAAAAATTGTCAACTTTTCAGGATCTTTTGACATCTCAGTGTTGATTTCCGCCAATTTGGCTACGCTCTGTACATACGCTCTTTATTCTATATTTTTTGAATGTTATTTAACATGGGATGAGTTTAGGTATTATTATCTTGAATGCATATGTAAATATTTATTTCGTATGCAATCCGAAGTTGAATTTATTTTATATAATATTTTGTTTAATTGCCTATAATTTTTAATATTGTTAGATGGATATCTATTTCTGATTATTTCTTTTACATAAATTTCAATTTTTAGAATATATGATTTTGCGGTCTTAATTATAACTTACGCATTGTTTTTAAATGCGGCAATAATATTTATTAAATGAAAACATATCTAAAAGTTTATTTCTTATTTGAAATTGTAAAAAACTTTCAGAGATAGATGCTAAGAAATCTAATACAATACAGTAGGTGCAGAACTAGAATGAGATATATTATTTAATTATTTATTACAATTATTTAATTATTTATTAACATTGAAATTAAATAATTTTATGTAACATTTGTATAGAGAATTAAGCTCGTGAAAATGTATGCAATGCCTCTTAATGGTATTGACTATATAAAAAGAATGTTTCAGAATTGTCAATAACGAAAATCAGAAAAAAAAATTTTTCATTTGTCAATATCATTCATGCTTGCTAAATTAATAAACAGAGAAAAATAATTTTTGGCGTATAAGAATAAAATTTCAAATGTGAAATTAAACAATGAAATTCTTCTTAATTCAATTTAAAATAAACTTTACTAATTGTAAGCGAAACGTCAACTTGAGATACATAAATCGGCATTTCTAATTTAAGTTTAAGAATGCAAATTAAATGTTGAAAATTTATTACTAGGATTTTTTCAAACTTTTATTAACGAAGAATTCATTCCAAAACTAAATCAATTCTTTCTGTAACTGAAAGAGATAGTGGTAGTTCTGAAGCATTTTGCGTGAAGGTAATCAAACGCTATCGAGAAAATTGAAAAGATAATCATTAAGCTATATCGGCCGTAGTTACGTTTAGTTGCGTTATTTTGATTCGGGGCTAGTGTAATACAATATGCAGAATTGGATTGCAGGACCACAAATTTTGGAGGGTAGAATAACGGGCTCGCCTCATGGGGTGTCCACGCTTCGACCAGACCTTGGTCCACCTGTCACGCACAGATTAGCGACAAGACCACCGCTGGCAGGTCCTTACGCCTTCTCTCGCATCCCACCCCCTGTCTGGAATAAGCCCCGTGTATTCCTAATGCATGACATCTTAAACACCTGGCTTTTCACAAACTTCTCTTCAGGGTATTTATTTCGTATCTTATACTTTTACCGTGTATTATGCACGTCTATGTATATGCGGTATATATATGCAAGGTGTACATAAATTGAAGAGAAAGAGAAGGGAATGACTTGTTTCTCAAAGAGCAAAGTTGCTTCAGCTTGATACCAGGCAGAATCTCTGCAAACGTTTCAATGACATCCTGTATATCTGTAAATAAAACGTGCGTACCGTATTGTACAGTTACGTGAAAGTTGATCAAGGTAAAGGTGCGATCTCATATTTCTCAAGAGTGTGTAAATGCAAGTTGCGTTACAAAGGCTTGTACTACACGTATCATGCATACCTCAGTTCTTGGAAAATGAATGTTGTCTTGCGTCATTGCCATTCACGGAGGAACGATTTTTGTTTGATTTTTCATTCGTAACATCGTTCACTATTTATATACGTCATTTACGAAAACGTGTATCTCCGCATTTGTAAAGGTGAAGGATACAAACGTAAGAATTTAACACGTTTTCTTTTCCATGTTACATCAATTTGCTTGTATCGTGTATATCTACTTCATTAGAAGGCTGCAATATAAACTCTTTTATCGCTATCCGAGACATTACTTTATTTTCGGAGATAAATCAATTCATCATGTGTTTCAGTTCGTTTATTATCTGAACGGTAGCACACACGAGACGTTGGATACCTACATACTTCTAAATACTTCCTCTTGTGCTCGCGTGTATGGAAATGTTAAGTACATGTGCTTTTACAGGTTGAGTGGAAAAACGGAATTACGACGCACCGTACCGGATTCTATCACATCATGGGTACTGACCGCATTTTCCGTCAATGACGCGCATGGATTAGGCCTGATAGAAGAACCCAGAAAGGTTGTTATAGATACGTATTTATATAATCTACATGCGAAAATTCGGAGATGGAATCTATTAGAAAAATCAATGATATTTGATAAATTTTTCTTTGAGAATAAAGTAAATTTATTATTTGATACTTTAATTTGCCATAAAATTAACGAATAAATTTGATTAAATTTTTTTCCGAGCATAAGTTTTATTATATATATCTAACTATCCGATTCTCTTTCCTTACAAATTAAATTTCTATCAGGATCTTATTGATATCTCATTGATTTTTTACCAATCTATTCTTTTGATCTGTGATAAATGTTGCAACGTTATGTTGATTAATTATATGTAACGCTCATCTTACTATATTATTACATGCACGTGTAATTTTGATAAAAATCTAAGCGGATTATAGTAAAACAGAGAACTGCTTTGAACAAAACTCGTCATAATTATGAAACTGTTGTATTAATATATTATTTATTATTTGTTCATTAGTTGAAAGTGTTCAAACCGTTCTTCATATCAGTGGATTTGCCATACTCGGTAATACGAGGAGAAATCGTAGGGATACAGATTGTGGTGTTCAATTACATGAATAAAGACTTGACAGCCGAAGTTCTGCTAACAAACGAGGGACAATTTGACTTTGCGGAAGTTTCTAATGAAGTTCACGATATGCCGAGTAAGTGGTGTAATTATTCATTTCCGAAAAGATAACAGTAATAGCTGACTTGTGTATGTAATTGAAGCAACGTGTACAACTTACAAACTGTGATAATCCAATTACGATAAGTTTATAGGATTGATGTTTGTCATAATTTTTCAGAATTGGAATTATATCGCCGGAAGAAAGTTGACGTGAAAGCCAATTCCGGCTCGAGTGTATCGTTCATGATTATTCCAAAAGAGCTGGGATACATCAATATAAAAGCGACCGCCAACAGCGTCTTGGCTGGCGACAGTGTCGAACACAAGCTACTTGTCAATGTAATGATCTGCGTTTCCTATTTTTTTTGATCGCGCGATTATTCGACAATAAGGATAAAACGTTGTTCTCTATTTTAAGGCCGAGGGAGAAACGCAATACAAGAACGAAGCGGTATTTCTGGATTTGAGAAATGCTGAACAGGGGGGCGCAAATGTCACTATCAACATACCTAATAATGCAGTTCCAGGATCCGAAAACATACAGATATCTGCAGTTGGTAATAATATTGCTTAAATCACGCATATATTGCTTCCAGTTTAAAAGGATCTTACTGATTTCTTTCTATTCTCCAAACCACAATCTTTTTTAGACTATTTATAATCCATAATGAGCTTTTCAGCACGATATAATTATATAATTATAATTGTATATATGTATATAATTGTATGTATATAATTATAATAATTCGTATGCACTATACATGCAAACTTATTCTACATAAAATATCTTGAAAAATACCACCATTTTTTTATTAATTATATACGTATTATACAGGTGATATCTTGGGCCCCAGTATCCCGAACTTGGCAAACTTAATAAGAATGCCATACGGATGCGGCGAGCAGAATATGCTCAATTTTGTACCGAATATCGTTATTCTAAATTACCTCAAGGTACCATTAATAATTTCTTCTGCTATATGACACACGCTAACATGTAATTTATATATTAAAAAAGAAAAACACTTTCAGAATACGAATCAATTAACGCAAGCCGTGCAAAGCAAAGCGCTAAAATATCTGGACATTGGCTACCAGCAGGAATTGACTTACAGACATACTGATGGTTCGTTCAGCGCGTTTGGCATGTCGGATCCTAGTGGAAGTACATGGTACGAGCGCAAGATTGTTGCATACATTATATTTAACAATTATTTCATCTACAAGATATTTGTCATTTAAGTTGTAAAATCCTAAAGTTATTCCGTTCATCAGGCTTACAGCCTTCGTAGCGAAGTCTTTCAAGCAGGCGGCTGAATACATAGCGATTGAAGATAGGATCATAAACGATGCATTGCAGTGGTTGTCCAATCATCAAGCACCGAACGGGTCTTTCCCCGAAGTGGGAAAAGTTAGTCATCGCGATATGCAGGGTGGAGCTGCCAAGGGACTTGCTCTAACGGCATACACGCTTATTGCATTTCTAGAAAATGAGGTGAATTTTTAATTGCCACATTACCTCTTTATTTAATGTTTTTTTATTTAATTTAATAGCACTTAAAGAGATATAACTGTTTGCTGGAAAATACGTGTTGTTTAAAAGTAATACGAAATAAAAATTGCATTTTTCCTGTCGCATAAATTAATTGAAATACGTTACATATAGGAATCTGTGGGAACGTATCGTAATACGATAAACAAGGCCGTTGACTACATCGTTCGTAATATGGACGGATTAAACGATACGTATGCATTGAGCCTGTGTGCCTACGCCTTAAATTTGGCGAAGCATCCACAAGAGACGTCGGCATTCAACTTCCTGGAGTCGAAAGCTATAACGAAACAGGGTACCAAATGGTGGAGCAAACCCATTCCGAAAGACAATAAAAATCCACACTACTTCTTACCGCGTTCCGTCGACGTCGAAATGACGTCGTACGCCTTACTCTTGTATCTTAGACGCAATTTGATCACAGACGCGATTCCCGTGATGAAGTGGCTCGTCAAACAAAGAAATACAGAAGGCGGCTTCGCGTCGACGCAAGTAAGCAATTATTCCAAGTACAAAATTATCTCAAGTATACGTAGAAGAATGAGGTAAAATTTAATTAAAATTTATGTATAAAATAATTTAGGATACCGTGATTGGACTTCAAGCATTGGCGAAGCTTGCTGAAAAATTGTCAAAGGACACGAATTCAGTTCGAATCGCGTTTAAATACGGCGAGGAAGAGGGTCAAGGCTATATGAATATAAATAGCGGTAATTCTATGATACTACAAAAGCAAATAGTAAGTTTAAATAAACTATTTTATATTATACGTTACTACAAGATATTAATACTTTTGCATTTTTTTGCAGCTACCTACAAAAACACGATATGTCAATATAACAGCATCTGGTAAAGGTTTTGTACTGGTGCAAGTTTCCTATCAATATAATCTAAACGTGACTGGGGCATATCCGTTGTTTACATTGGATCCTCAAGTTGACAAAAATTCCAACGCTAATCATTTGCAATTGTCCATATGCTCAGGGTACGTTTTTGTTTATTATACTTAGTATTATTTAATTGTAAGTCTAATAAAACTTTAAATCATATCGGTAAACAAGAAAAGTCCATTTTTTTTTAAGTTTTGATATTGTTATGCAGTTGTTAAAAATTAATTATGAATTTTTTAAGTTTTTTTTATCTTGGCTGTATACATCCTGTGTATATATGAAATATATACTTATTTAATTTTTCAAAAAAAAAAAAAAAAAAAAAAAAGAATGATTTAATTATTAGACAACAGTGTATTATATGATTTTGCTGATCAAAGATTATAATCATATTTTCATTATTATTTGTCGGCAGATTTGTTCCAACTGAGGAAGCAAACGAGAGCAATATGGCTGTTATGGAAGTAAGCCTGCCTTCTGGCTTTACAGTGGATCGAGATTCATTACCGAGTTTAGAAGTGTCATCGCATGTAAAGCGTGTGGAAACTAAAAACGGTGACACAATGGTGGTTCTATACTTTGATAAGGTAGAATATACATCACATAAACAATAATCCAATTAACGCAAATTATTTGAATAGCTTTCACAAAAATCTGATAAAAATGCAATTAATATATTAAACAAATAGAGAAAAGTATTTTATAAATTATATTATCGTAGATGGTGAAACAAGAATATTGTCCAACCGTGTCCGCATTCAGGACGCATAAAGTAGCTAAGCAAAAACCAGTTCCCGTTTCTATATACGACTATTACGACTCGTGTAAGTATAATTTTAATATTTTATATATTAATTTGACCTAAAAAATTTGATATGTAAAAGATATTCCAAGATATTAATATATATAATAGAAAACAACTTGTAAGATTTAAAAAAATATACTTTTTTGTTATGTTTCCGCATATGCAGCAAGAAGAGCAAGAGCGTTTTATGAGCCTAGAAAGACAACCTTGTGTGACCTGTGTGAAGATGAAGATTGCGAAGATATATGCGTTTCAAAACCCGGTAAACGAAAGGACAATGCTACAATATCCGCTGCGTCCTACGTTCAAGCTTGTGTATATTTGAAAGTTATATTCTTCTCGTTTTACTATTTGCTTCTATAGGTACTTGTAAGTATATTGTTATCGAGAGAGTAATTATTTCATTTAATTATATTATAAACTTTAAATCTAACAGAATAACGTAAAGAAGCTGTATAAGTTGCGACCAAAGTATATATACTTGTTATACAGAGTAAAATATAAGATTACATTTTTTTTTATTTAATGTCCAAATCAAACTAACATAAGATTTAAATTACTGATAATACTAAGTTAATAATAAAATTTGATAATGTTTCTTGTTATTAATTAGTAGATATTATTTTTCTCATGCTGTAAAAATCCTTCTGATACACAGGTATTTCCTGTGAAATCGCTTCGTTTGTTTTTATATTTAAAAAAAGAGAGAGAATGGCGAAGAGATGGGAATAAAAGAATGATAAAAACTTATAAAATAATTTATCGATGTAATATATCTAGTTCCGTCTCACAGAGTTTTTAAAATGCTTTATTCGATAATTTATATATAGAAATATTCAAAATAACATACTGCCTAATAATTAGACAATCTACAATCTAGAACAGAAATAATAATAATAATAATCACATCGTTATGCGGGTAGAAGATCGTCGTCGCTATCCGATTGACACTGCGTAGGATCGGAAGCGTCGAGCAAAAGTCTGGCTTCCTCAGTGGTATCGACCTGCGAAAAAGCAAAATTTACATGCAGCAAATATGATTTAAGTAAACGAAACTTAACAATGGTTTATAAACGTTTTAAAGTGAACGAAAAACAAACGTACTCTACAATATTGGACACGACCCGAGCCTCTTCTGAAACCAAGCAGGTTTGTCCAGGACTGACAGCACGCTCTTTCTACCGGACTTCGGAAAAAAATTAAAGCGGCTAACACCGCGATCACAGTTAATACTACGCCAGCTACCGCTCCAGCTGCAAGCATAAAAGTAAATCATCATGATATTATGGCGAAATAAACCGAAACAAGTAGAAAGAAATAAACTAAGTGTAAAAAAATCGACAAATTAATTATTCAATTATAAAATAATTTTATACTTTGATATTTTTAATATAAAACAATTCGATGAACATTGAAGATAAAAAACAAATGGTTTCATTTCTTTGAATTTATCGTTTCTCTCAATTATATAAGAAAAGTCTTATTATTTGCCTCGGCTTGACATACTAAATTGATTATATTTATTATATTTATTAGTTGATTATATTTATAAGTTCAATGTCGTCACATTCAAAATCTGATATTATTAAAGATATGACCGTTTACCGTGACTAGGAGAAAATTGTTCCAAGAGAATCCTGGAGGACGATGCATTTTCCCGAGATGCATTCCGAGAGATAGCATGTTCCACGCAGATCACTTCGGTGTGCCACTCAAATTCCGCGCTGCAATTCGATTCCTGGGGATCATGAGAAAAAAAAAAGAATGACACCAAGTCGGACGTGAATTGGCAGCGTTCGCTTAAGTAATGTAAATTTCACTCGACGCTGCATCTGATAATCATCTGGAGATTCAAACGCGTGACCGATATGACAATCTTATCCATCTCTGTCATGAATAAATATATATATATTTATGCGACCGCACAATTTGAAAGGATAACTGTGAAAAAAATGATACGAGTGAATCATCGACGAAGCAAGACATTAAAAATATCTTTTTGATTTCAAGATAGAAGAGGAATGTGAAGGACTCCAATATTCGATATAAGCTAAATAAATCAAGTCTTCGTATTTACTTGAAAAACTTCTTCTTTTAAATTTAAAGGTATAATTTAAATTATATTGTAAGAAAAACTCTTGGTATTCTAAATCGCAATACGTGAGAAATAGAAATACGCTGATATATTATGTACTTAACGGAAGCTAAATCTGCAAGATATTATTTTGGTAGATAGCAATCATTATCAAACATTATATATTGTGTGCGGTCAGGTGTATATATATGAATATATATACCCGAAATATTTCCCAAACTTGCAGTAAATTTTTGCATTTTTAAAGGAGTAAGGCTTCAATATTTAAAGTGTTTGATTATGTTATACAAATATATACAACAATTTCATCGATGTTACATCATATACAAAAGATTTTAGATAGAAAAAGATAATAAAAATATCCCTAGCATCGCTACTGCCCCTCTTCTATTGTCGCTATTCTTATCAGGATTGCGTAATTAATGTTATCAAGATATAAACGTCGAATATATTTCGCATTTCATCGAATAGATAAGTAATAGCCGAGTGAAAGATTGTCAATCTCTAGAAAATTCGAATTTAGAAAGGATTAGTTAGAAGAAAAAAAAGTGAAAAGTAGCAAGCGTAAAACAAGCACAAAAATATATAAAAATATTAAATAAAAAAAAAAAGAATCTTATTATACAGAGATGCATGGTACAGACATGTATATATTAAACAAATCTTTATTATCTAGCACAACTTGTTCAGGCTGAAGTTGTAAACTGAAGTTATGATTCTACGTATACGTGACGATTCACAGTCAGAAATTTATTACGGTGTATATACCTCTTTCTTCTATCAAACGAGTAGATAGAAAAGGATGGAACGTGAATTACCGAGTGAGAGGGAGAACAGCAGGGTACGGAGTGAGGGACGAAGAAGTGACGAGAAAGAGAGAGGGAGTGATAAGGTGAGGGGAAAGGAGAGAAGAGGACGGAGCGGAGCGCACAGGCGAGTCAGGCTGTTCACAATCAGTCGCTGCAGTCGTGTCGGTGCCGGACTGCGCGGTTAAAGAATCGGATCGGTGGTAGTGTCTCAGTGACAGCTCCGATGAGTCAAATCCGGATTCTCTACTTTAAGACCGTTCGCCAGCAGCCGCGGCCATCTTCTTACACTTTCGATATTTAGAATTAAGCCAGCCTCGGCGAACGGGAACGCGCAACGAAGTGTCATTAGGACGAACGGAACGGAATTTCCTTTTTTTCCTTGTTAATTCTGTGCGGGAGATCACGTGTCGCGCGTACGCTGCGACAAGTGTACGCCACGAGAAGTGTACGTGTACGCATGCCGCAGCATGTACGTACGTTTGTGATATCTGTATGTTGTGACATCATTATACAATAACAATCGCTCGATAGAGGAAAACAGAATAAGACACGCGACGGTCTACGCAAATGATAATCGTAACGTAGCCCACCATATTGCGATTGGTAAGTAAACGCGATGTTATACCTAGGTACGGACGTCATTTCCGCGAAACCGGTTCAGGCACCGCCTTGTGTAACGACGAGTCTCGCGTGCAGGATCGGATCTAGCCAATTGCCGTCCGATCGATAGATCTCCAGTAACTCCAGAAAAAGAAAATGCGAATATTCTGCAGTTGCATCTGATAATAATCGCTTGTAGATCATCGAATTCGATTTCCAAAAATTTAACATTCAAAAATGATTGACGTACGAACAGTGTTGCGTCTTCTGAAATAGCTTTACTGCAGAAAGATCAAAATAAGTGCATTCCCCTCTTCTAGGCTAGCGAAAATTAAAAATGTAAAAGATTTTCTATTCTAAGATTTTATATTTCAAACCGCTTGAATTAATTAGCTAGACGAAGCAGAGGCTTATCTTTATTTGTATCTTTCGTGAAAATAAATGATTTAGGCCCGATTTCATATTATTATAATATACCTTAATTTTAAACTTACTTCCTATCTCTTTCGTGTTATAAGAATTAGAAAAAGATAGAAAATAAGTTAAATTTTAAGCTTAAAATTAAATTCCATTACAAACGGGCCTTAAAAAGTTTCCCCGTAAAACTTGGCTGGCCGAAGCATCTACTTAAGAGAAATACTAAAAGAAATATATAATTACACGCATAACAAGCGTAAAAGTTAATATGATTTATAATGGAGATGGAAATAAATTTATATTATTTGGAAATAGAAAGTTTTGTCATAAGTTCTATTTTGAATCAACTTAAAAAAAAAAAGTTCTTAATTTGAACCGTATATATTTATATATATATATATAAATATATCATTATTATAAGTTTTACATCTGTATATAATTTTATTTTCCCTCTAAAGTGTATAATGTTATTAATGCCTGATAATGTCGGGTAAATCACTGAATCAGGCCCTGTCCCATGACGTAAACAACATTCATTCGTGTAGGAACGCGTCAAGGACGACTACACGACTCGCCTCGCGTTTCGTTGATCGAATCGTAGCCGAGTGTCGTCGAGACCAGGATGTACCACTTTTTTTTCTTCCTTTTTTTTTCTTGCCGTCGCGATGTAAAATAAATCGACGGGATTTCGTGCCTGTTTTCCCCACGATCTAGCAGACTCATGTGGGACATTAACGCGCTTCGGGGAATGCCCAGGCGACGCGCGATGTGGTTTTAACGCGGCACGTTCACACATCCGAATCCTGGTGTTTTTTTTATATAACGATATAACGCGGGCACAAAACTTATCAAAGTAAATATGACGAAAGCGAGAAGCGAGGGTTTGCATCGTATGAATCGTATCGCGAAACCGAGATATAACTGATCGCCTATGAACTTTGGATTGACGTGTGTCTATCTTTGTTTTTTCCTCCATGTTGTGATAACTAGTCAAGTTGCGAAATGTTGGGCTAAATTATCGAATGTGTTTACTTTCGTAAACGAGTGGGGCTTAACCCCCATGTCGCTAACCGACTGATTTAACATAAAATTTTCTGATGGGTTGGCTACATGGAAAAACTTTAAGCATCGGTCGCTGTGGTTCAGTCGCAGCGTGGTCAAACGGGTCGCTTTACCGTCAAAACTGTCGAAAGCGCGAGCGGGCAATCTCCGATAAGAAAAAGAATGCGAGTTTATCACGTCAGTGAAAGAAAAACAAAAATGTTTCACGTTAATTTTGTATATGTAATTAATTATATACTAAACTGTATATGTAATTAATTTTGTATACGCGAGAGGTTGAAGGAGTAAAGAGAGGAAATGGTTAGGAAATACCAGAGAGCACGCAAAGATCATGTGTTATCATTAATATGATATCACTTTTTTTACACAGAAACAACTCGCTGCGAACAATGAAGCACGCATTTCTGAATTCACGAGAATTTATTGAATTTATAGTTTACTCGATGCAGAAACACTTCTTTTTCAAGTTTAAGATAAAATCACCGAAGTTTCTCTAAAGAAAGAATTGTAAGACATTTTCCTAGACGAAATAAAATAAAAGATTTTGGAAATTCCGTCCCTGCTTTCTTTTTCTCTTTTCAGATAAAAGAAATCAATTTAATTAATATATAATCTTAAAAAAGTATGTGGCTTTATTTGCCAACTTTTCTCGGCAGATACGATGAATCTCTCGTTTAACACTTGTATACGTATAATTAATAAAGAAATTTAAACTGAAAAATTAAACTGAACGAAGTTCTGTCGATTTTAGTCGTGACTTAATTGTTTCGGAATTGCCTCCGCAATTGTCGCGCCACTTTGGCCTTCAATATTCTTATAAGACGGAAATGTCGTCGCAAATGTCAAAGAGATCCGTCAGAATTACGGAATTTAATGGATAAAATCTCGAACGCGTTATTTGCTTGCGTTTCAATACATGCGGTTTAACGGGTGTTAATATCGCATCGGTTATCGTGTTTATCAGCGACACTTGCGAATTAGATTTCTCAACTTTAACTGAATGTTCTCAACCACTCGTGTAATCGATTTAACAACAAACATGATCTAAGTGAAAATCACGCTTGGATATTTCGCGGAATAGTTTTTTGAATGAGAGATAATAGTAATCAAATTGCGTAGATAGCGTATCATTTTCACACGTTGTTGAGGCTATTTTCATACGATTACTTGATACGCAATCAGATAGCCGAACAATAATATGGCATAATACATAACGAAAAGAAAGGGTCCGCATACATATTCATAAAAATGTTACAAATTTTCAGCAATTTCCTTAAATTATCGATCCAGAAATTATTTAATATTTACATTTGTTATATATTAATTATTATGTATTAATTGCGCAAACGTTATTAAAAAACATTAAAAAGATAGAATTATCGTGCATATTCATTTTATATTAATATTTTGAATATAAAATAATAAATTTTTTCACCCATTTTCATTTATGAGAAAATCTTGTGAGAGGCTATAATTTATTAAAATTTTCAATTACACGCGGGCAACGTTAATTATCTTAATAATTTAAAAAATGTCAAATTGTTTAATTCCGAAAAGTAAAATTCATGTATTTGAATCTAATACAACAAATAAAAATTTTTGTTTAGTTTTAATTCAAGCCTAAATTTCGTGAAATTTAAATCGAATTTCATTAAACTCATCTTATTTTTTATTTTTTATAACACGAAGATGTGCGAATGTGCCCACATTTTAATTATAAAACAATTTATTTGAAGAAGAATCTGTTTTTATAAAAACTGAAGGTTTTGGAACATCGTGTAATTTGTTTTATCCGTATACTTCTCTGCCTGTAAACCGCAAAATAATTGATCTCTCACTTCAGTTCGGATAAATTTCCATCGATAAGAACGAATTGATTATTACGTTAGCTCTTTCCTCGTTTTAAAACAACTATTTGTTAACTACAATTCTGCGAATAGATTATTTGCATAACAATTTACATGAACGTGGATTTACCTAATACTGTACAGCTTGTAAGGCTGATGTTTTTTCTTTAATGAGAGGTATAAATAAATAAAAAAGAGTGACGACGAATATATAGACGAATATATACGATGAATATATTATTATGTTACTATAAATTACCAATAAATTGCGGGAGATTTCTAAGAAACAGGCTCATAATAATGCTGTTTTTTTTACCATCCACGAGAGAGATACGCAAAACGATTATTGCAAACTGACGATAAATCATATACCACAAACAGCTTTATGTCAGAGAAGTTTGCCGTTTTCCTATCAGCTTTTGATTCAAATAAAAGCCTGCATTTTTGTTGAGGTGAGAAGGAAATATGATTTCTTGTTCAACATTCCGTATAGCAGAAGTGATTAATATGTATTGCCGTAAAGAAAGGTATTTTCATTGAGATTCCGAAGATTAGGGAAATACCGAGAATCGTGATCTAGCCGTTTGTCATGATAGTTCCCGTTTGCAATTATCTCGTTTATAACACATTAAAGAATCTTCCACGTGACACATTAAGAATTATTTTCCATGAATCTCTAATGGATCTTGTATGTTCTATCACAATGTGAATTTTATTTTCATTAAAGGTTTTAAAACTTATTAGCTACTTGCATTATACGAAGACTAAGCGTCACAACGATCATGCATATTTTTAATTATTCGATTCTTTTAAAATTTACAGTTTTTATAGTTAACGTCCTAATTGTAAGACTATCATAATGTAGCAGGATTTTATTTGAAAAAGCTGACAGGAAAACGACAAACTTTTTCTGACAAAAAGCTATTTGTGGTATGTATAATTTATCTTCAGTTTGCAATAATCGTTTTGCGTATGTCTCTCGTGGATAGTAAAAAAGCATTATTTTAAATATCTCTATAAATCTATTAGCTAAAGTCGAAAATCGAGCTGCAACAGCTAACATCGCTAACTACAAGCGATTAAATTTTCGTAATAAAAATGTAAAAAAGATACAGATATTTTTTAATTTTTTCTTACCGTTGCTACACCTTGCTATATATTTTCCTACATATTACAATATCAAATTAAATAAAAGGCATATCTATAAATAAAATTTGATGCCGTGTACAAACATATATATATTTTCTTATATATATAAAAAAAATTATATATGTCTGGATATTTTATATTTTAAATTATAAACATGTATTTCTTTTATTTCATATGTTGTATAAAAAAATGTATGGCAACTATAAAAGAGTTCAGCAACGAGCTTATCTCGAAAAGAGGAAATGTTACATTTATCTAATCCACGATGCTTCCGATTTTCGCAATGTCGTGCTTTGCGGCTTTAGAATAAATGAGAATTGAAAGCAAATTGTATAACAAAATAATATCAAACGTGTCTTTATGTTTGTTTAAACAGATAAGTAAGGGTGTTGCCAAGAATCGGATTATATACATCTTGAAAGATGACTCGTCGCGAAGCATGCTTCGTGATACTGGCTGTTGCGCTAGGCAGCGTTTCCGCTCTTCACTGCCCAAAGAATCCGGCATGCACCTGTCAGCCGAATACTGAGGAAGGAATCGAGATAAACTGTGCAATGAAGAATAACTCCTTTTTTATCGTGAATATTGAACCAAATCAATATATAAAAGTACGTGTCTACTTAATTATGATTATTCTGCGCTTGCCTAGACACAGTTGCAGAGATCTGCAGATGGACTGCTAGTCCATATCACTGCCAAAAATTAAATGATTCGACTCAAAGACCTTCATATAATTTTATATATCGAGAATTTGGGTATAGATCACAAACTGATTCTTAGCCAACATTATTATGAAATAGAGATTCAAAATTCTTCCAGATCTCATGATCTTTTTATATTTCATGAAATCTCTCTCATCTTTCCTTTAATCAATCATTCCACAGAATATAAATTCAAAAATTAAAAGAGAGCATATAATTTATAGAAATATTTACTATTTTTATTTTGTCTTTAATCTAGAATTTTTTCAAAAATATTTCAAACCATGATATCACTTTAAAAAGTTTAGAAATTTCTACGTTATCCTAAAATATTTTATTGACATTTTCATAATTTTTTCATGCTAATTCTGGATTTTTTTAATGGATCAAGTTTGCATTAAAATTGTTTTTTTTTTATAGATCCAATGTATTAACTCACCGGACTGGTCGGATTTTTATCTAGATATGCCTTCTTTGACGGAAAATGTTGTAAACTTCTATTTGTGCGAATTACCGACCAATCGCAGTTTGGGTGAAATCGCGCAAATGCTCGGAGCTGCAAACGTGGAAAAATTGATCTTTCAATCGTACAAGAATTTGAGTTCCGCCCTGATCAAGCATCATTTGGATGATTTCGAGAATTTGAAGACTCTGATCTTGTCGAGCAACAATGTGTCCTACGTGGATAAAGATCTGTTATCCGGCCTAGTCAACTTAACGGGACTCAATTTGTACGACAACAATTTACACTCAGTCGATGAATTTTTCAACTATACCCCCGGATTGCAATGGCTCGAATTGGGCAACAATGCGCTGCAATCGATAAAACTGGGCACGTTTGACAATCTGAAAAATCTGACATTACTTAATCTGTGGAAAAATCATTTAGTCGAGCCACAGTCAGGAATTTTCGACGAAATTGTCGCTCTTAAGACACTTGATCTCAACACGAATAACATGGTCAAGTTACCGGAAGACATCTTCGCGAAGCTCGAAAATCTCGAGGTTCTTAACTTATCTCGAAACAATTTCACACATTTACCGGGAAATCTGTTACGAAATAACACGAAGCTAAAGTCTGTCTCTCTCTTCAACAACAAGAGAAATATGACCTTGCCGAATGAATTTTTTGCAAATTTGACGGAACTGCAGGTGTTGCAACTGAAAAAGATCGGACTTGTCACACTGCCGAAGGATCTGTTCCGAGGGTGTATTTCGATAACTAATATCACTTTGGAACGAAACTATCTTCAAACTTTACCTGTGGAGATATTTCGCGATTTAAAGGAACTCCTCGAATTGAAACTGAATTTTAATGATCTTGAAAAATTACCTGATCATATCTTCGCGAATAACAAACAATTGGCGAAATTAGATTTGTCAAAAAATCGAATGACTTCCATTTCCAAGTACGTTTAAACTTTCGATTTTTATTATACGAAATTATTGACGATTGCTTATGTTTTTTACACTTTTAGCAATATATAATTCTTTGCAGGCATCTATTCGACGGATTGTCCGCTTTGAAGGAATTAAATATGGAAAAAAATAAGCTGATGACTATTTCCGATCATGCTTTCAGTTCTTTAAAAAAATTGAAAATTATAAGGATGTCTAACAATTATCTTACGTTAAAAGATACTTTATACGAATATTCTGATCCATATGGAAAACAGTCACCTTTTCACAATTGCGTGTCATTAGAGGAATTATATTTAGCCAATAACAATATTTCGGAAATATTTAGTGACTGGACTCTCATCGACTTACAATTGCGAAAGTTGGATCTCAAATATAACAATATAACTATTATAACCGTAAGTAAAAGTATCTGCGGAAAAGCACTTTTAAAGTTTATGTAAATACGATAGACAGGTTTATAAGATATATTTGTAGGCGATAATATATTGAACGTAATTTTTCCTTTTCTAATTTCAGAGTGATGACGTGCAGTTTTTATCGAGGGAAATCGAAGTGGATTTGACTCATAATAAAATACAACACATCTTCATACGCAATGTTGAACAATTCGGGAATTATCAGGAAGATCCTCGTAGTAATACGAAATTGATACGAAAAATATTAGTAGATTATAATCCGCTTCATTGCGATTGCGGGTTGTATAACTTTCTGCGTTATCTCGAAGACAAAATGTCTTCTCAATATCAAAAAAGTGTCCATATAATACCAGGAAATTTAACTTGCGAAAGCCCACCGGAGATGAAGAATATGCGCGTTAAGGATTTTCGATCTAAAACATTAACGTGTAGAGTAACGGATCCTGATGTGTGTTCCGAAAAGTGCGTCTGTTTAGTAAGACCCGATGACAAAGCGTTCATATTTGATTGCTCTCAGAAAAATTTGAGTGGTGTGCCAAGCGACATAAAAAAACCTAATCATCCCTTCCAATTCGAATTGAATTTCTCCGGCAACCGATTAACTCGTATGCCAGATTTGAAAGCAATGGGATTTGTATCAGGTTTGAAGAAACTTGTTTTATCTCACAACCACATCGATGAAATGTCTCTGGATGGATTGTCCAACACAATAGAGGTGTGTAAATTTATAATTTTTTTACCTAAAGGATAAAATATTTTTAAAATATTCAGATATATTATTAAATATAATGGTGAAAAAAGAGTCGCAAAATTTAGTATAGGTATTTATAAAGATAGACAAAAAAAAATGTTCAATTAATAAAGTGCTGAGATCTCTTTTTTTTTAAATTATTCTTATTATATAGTGATAAATAAAGTAATGAAAAAAATTTTTTAATTGCACTTTAAAATTTAATATCGAATTCTGTTTCAGGTCTTGAAACTACATGATAACAAAATATCAAGAATACCTTCTGACGTGTTGGAATTTTTAAAAGAGTCGAATTTAACTAGCTTGACGTTACACGACAACCCATGGGAATGCGATTGCTACGCCAAGGACTTTGGAAGTTTTATTCGAAATAAATTTGGGACGATGCTAGAGCTACGTGAAGTGAAGTGCCTGGAGACGAATACTTTTGTATTCGAAATGACCGACGTTGATTTTTGCCCGGTGTACACGGCAATGATTATCGGCATTAGTGTATCACTCTGTCTTACGGGGTTACTTATCAGCGTTTTAGGATTACTCTATTACAAATACCAACGGCAAATCAAAGTGTGGCTTTACGCGCATCAGTGGTGCTTATGGTGCGTAACCGAAGAGGAACTGGATAAAGAGAAATTGTATGACGCGTTCGTGAGCTACTCGCACAAGGACCACGACTTCGTCGTGAACGAACTGGTGTCCAAGTTGGAGAGTGACCCGATGCCGTTCAAGCTGTGCCTTCATTATCGGGACTTTGTGCCGGGTGAATGGATAACGAAGAATATCGCTAGCTCTGTGGAAAATTCCAAACGGACGGTAGTGGTGCTGACGCCGAATTTCCTGGAGAGCGTCTGGGGAAAGATGGAATTCCGAGCCGCCCACAGTCAAGCGTTGAGCGACGGTCGGGCGCGAGTGATATTAATCCTGCACGGTGATATCGGGCCTACCGACGACTTGGATCCGGAACTGAAAGCGTACTTGGACATGAACACGTATGTCAAATGGGGAGATCCCTGGTTTTGGGACAAACTGAGATACGCGCTGCCGCATAAACTCAAACACGCGAGAAACAGTAACGTCGGAAAAGTCTTTGAAAATCAGCGACCATGCATTCAAGTGAATGGAGATAAAAAGGAGCTCATCTATCCGGTTGACCTTCCTGACAATGAGACTCCATCGTCCACTACGCCGCCGGCCGACACGATTAAAAAGTTCATATGTGATAAAGAGTCGGAGAAACAATTATTTCTGAATGGATACCCGCGGAAATCGTGTAAGTTGGATAAAGATATCGCGATCATTCTCTCACCTGAACATTTAATGAAAAACGAGAATGGAGAATGTCTTGTCTGAAAGCACGAAAGTAAGAAGTATCCATAAAAATAGTAAATAGGAATCATTTATAGATCCGTCTTTAATATATGCGATGTTGACGTCATGCGCAAGAACGTTTTGATATATATTTTTTTCTTTTTTAAGAAGGCTTGATCTTAATTTAGAATGAAATAATTAAGGATACAATCTTCAGATGGATCTTCAGATGAAATAATTAAAGATACAAATTTAAGAAAGTGAAAAAAGCAGGGAAAAATGAGCGATGAACAATTGACTGATGTTAGATTAAACCTAATATGGGCCCATAAATAATATTAGTATATTTTATCAATTCCTATAAAATGAAATTATTTTTTTAGGAATAACTCATTTAAATAATTCAGATAAAATATTGTTATATATATTTTGGACTATACTATAACAATACTTTATTGCTGTCGATCTAAGTTTTCGAAAAATATCTATAGAATATTTCGCCTAATTATAGGGAACGTATTTCAACTTAAACACTTTCTGCGGGTCGTATAAGATTTTAAAAAAAATTTTGTAACTTGTTACAAATTAGCTTTGCTTATTCAAATGTTACATTTATTAATATTATAAAAATGTTTATTTCTCTCGTAAATATGTCATTTTGAATGTATCTTTATATGTATAGTTTTTCATGCAATATTGTAAGTTTAAGATATATTTTAATAACTTTTATAAGAAAATACTCAAGGATTATTTTATGTATTGTGATGCACTTAATTTAGTCATAAAATATGCCTGTGTATATAAAGCGCAATGTTATAATTAAAAATAGTTTATATGATATATAGTTTATATAATATACACATTTTTTATATAATAGTTTATACAAGATGTTTCCTATAATTTTATTAGTGTCAACTTCTAAGAAAAGACCATATCAATTTTTATTAAACATTGATATAATAAGAATAGGATACATCCTGTATAAGTTGCAGTTCTTAAAACAGTACCTGATAAATAATTAATTATGCTTTAGAAAATACTTTCATGCATTAATAGGATATGCAACAACATGTTAAAAATCAAGATACAAAGTATCTTGATTTTTAGCATGTTCTTTCATGTTTTCATTTTTAGATCAATATGACATATCTGTTGTTACGAGAGATAAAAGCATATGTGTATATAATTTTTCCTAATTACTTTATAAGAACTTTATAGAGATTTAAGATTGTAAAAAATTTATGTTACGAACGCAATATAAAGATATGCAGAATTGAATTATGATAGTCATTATACAAATATTGGAAATATAATGATGTTTTTACAATTATATTTGGTGGTATTATATTTGATATTATATATTTGACTGTGAGTATTTATACACACATATATTTGTAAATCAAGGATTAATTGCAAATATATTGGATTTTCAAGAGTGCAAATCTACAAAAAATATTTTTCCATAGACGTTACTGCTATGGAATTATATATAAATTATCTGGAAAGATACTGTGAAATGTCATGCATAATTATTAATAGAAGGAAAGTTTTAAAAGTAAGCCTGATAACGTAACATCCGGTAAGAAGGAAACATGTGGAAATTAAAAATACATTAATTTGGTTTTTTAAGAGCACACTTATAGTAAAACACAATAAAAGTTTATTAATCAATAAGAAAAGAGTGATTATTGGCTGCATTCAGTAGAAAACGCAGTTTTGCAACTGTTGTAAGATTTTTAAATACGGTTTTTGCCCTTAGTTCTCCACAGATCTAAATGTATAAACTGATCGTATTAAAGAATCTTACAATAGTTGCAAAACTGCTTTTTTTGCTAAATGCAGCCATTGAAAAGAACATTGGCGCCCACCTATAGTGGGACAGCCTCGCGTAGAAAAGATGAGTGGAATGGTCCAAAAACACATATTAACATATTCTTCGTTGGTTTCAATACAAGAAATGGTTGAGTTAAGAAAATTGAGTTAGCAAAAAGCGCGAGTAAAATCTCAACTAATTCGTATGGAGATCTCTTTGCAAAAGATAGTTAATATCATGTCAAACTTATAAAAAAAGCAATTTCAACAAAGCAAGAGATTCTTTTTTTTTTAGAATTTTTCAAATCTATGATCTTTAAAATCTGGTAGATATTTTAAGTTTTTTTTTAAATTAAAGGAAAGATGAATTTTCATCCTACTAAGTTATGTCGAGTTATGACCTACTGTCAACGATTTTAAACTATTGAAATAGAAGAAGCTTGGATCATTGATGCTGAAAGAACTAGAGAAAATAGAAATCACGATCATCAGATGGATACAAGTCCAAGAATGTTCTGGTGAGTTATACTATTTGACAGAAGGCCTTTCAAGGAAAAGTCCTCTGTGTTGAGAGTTATTTTAGGATAATCAAGGTTTGATTTGAATGGGAGGCAAACTGACTAATATAGAAATTACCGACATACAGAAGCATAAAATTGTTTTATCAGTTTGATAATATATATATTATATTAGCCAATTAGTGGAAGAAAAAAACTGAATTGTACGAAAATACCTAAAATGTTTTCGCTAGGGGATCTCCATCTTAAAATTTCTTTAAATTTATTAATTTATATTTTATGCATATTTATGTTATAAATATATTAATTCGTTTTTTTAATTATTTATATAAATAAAAATTTAAAATTAAAATTTTTATTTATATACTTCTTTTCATACATCTTACTTTTGAAAAATTTCCTCCGTATTTTATCAAGAAAAACTGCATAAAATGCTTTGCATAATTTGAACTTACCAACAGCACTTTCGGTGCACCGACACCCATGGATTCGTTACATATAAATCTTACTTCGGACGTGTAAGAATCTGTTAAAAAAATGTAATTTTAATATGCAGTCAAGAATTAAACGTGAGTATATTAATAAAACAGAAATGTTCAACTCACTGTTGTTACATTTACTGCCATTTGAATATTTAAGTTTTACGTCGTCACGGCTATAATCAAAAATCACACTTGCCAGCGATCCGTAACCGTTGCCTTTGTGACATACGGCAGAGCCACTGCAATATTTCTCTCCACCACAAATATTTAAAGCATACTCCTTGCCTGGTTTGCTTGTTGCGCTTTTTACCTATAATTTTAATTTCATTTCTGATAAGTATTTGTTGAAATAATGAAGTGTTTTAGCAGATAGATTACATATATGTGCGTCATGTATGCAAAATATATTTTTTGTGATAACAAAATTGTTTCAAACCAATTAGATAATTGATTCGCGCACGTATATATAGGCTCGTATTCAGACGCGCTTATAACAACATTAGCGTGCATTTAGTAGACAGTTTACGCTAGGTATACTATAGAATTATAGAATACTCGATACTTGTTAATCCGTTAACATTGTTATAAGCGTGTTCTGAATATATAAGCCACAGTCTACATAAATAACTGCAAAGTTGCCATTCATATTTCAAACTCACGTAATATATCTGTTGTTTCTTGTACAACAAAGAAAGATCGTATTCATACGAAAGGAAACTATCCTTTATAATACATGGTGCCGTCCAACCTCCCATCACGGCACCGCATGCTATACTAGTATTCCATTCAAATACGTACGTACAATCGACATATTGTTTATATACTGGAAGTCCCTGAAACATAAAAAACACGAAAATATATAGTAAACTTTATAAAATAGACTTCATAAATTTAGGTAGAAGTTTGAGATAAATTTTTCTTATTTCTAAAAGACGTTAATTCTTTCATGATATAAGCTGCAACAAAATAATGGCTTCCTTCCAAATTTTTTCCACTGTAAAATTCAATCTCGAATTTAACGCGCGCAGTGAATTTATCATTAAAATTCAGATTAAAACCTTTGGAAAGTTTTGCTGTTACCTGATTGTTGTTATCGCAAATAAATGTGAAATTCGAAGATATCGTTTTAGCTGGATTCTCGGGACATTGTGACCCATTGATGTAACGTAATACCGTTCGTAGATCTTTATTTAACGTTGGACTGTCCTCAGGAAATCCTAAACTCTGTTTTTTTAAATAAAAATATACATATTATTGAAACTTAGGTCACATTTTCAATTATAGTACGACTAACCGTTTAAACAGATCTGTACTTACGATTTCATTAGTATATTCATTCTTTGAAGTTACCGAAACTTTACAAGCAGCACTACCATGTGCACATGTAAGACCTTGAGTAGGAACTAACGGTCGGCATATATTTATGTGAAATTCCGTATCGTTGGCTTTTATGACATAATTGTTTGTAGATTGTATAAGAGGCGTTAAATTGATTTCATCGTTATTATCGGTAGCGCATTTAATCTAGAAACGAAAGAGTAATTCTTTATTTGTTATGCCAAGAGAAAAACCAGTAGCATGCATAATAATCACACTTACTTTTTTCTCACAAGCTAAATCTGTATTCCAGTGTATGATGGTCTGACAAGGAGATTCTTTCACGAACAACGGCCGACTGGGCGATCCTTGCGACTCACAAAAAAAAGCAATAAGTGTATGATGACGCATTCCTTTTTCACATAAATCCCCATTGGTATAATTTAAGTAAGGGCCACCTTGCTGCCACGTTAGATTTGCGTTAGCTTGTCCTAACGACGTACCATTCTTTAAATTACATATTCCTGCATGAAGAAATGATTAATAGATAAAATTTAGATCAATCACATAAACATAACAAATACAATATAGTTTTTATGACATGGACACAGCACCTGTCTTATTTTCACATGTATTATCTGTAAGTGCACTGCAAACTCTGAATTTGTATTTTACACCACTTGTACTTGTAACATTAAAGTCTCTGTTCATTAATGTATGCAAGTCATATCTGTATATCACAAAAGACATAGTCAAATTATAAGCGCATTATGTATAGTTATCAGTATTATTCACATAATTAATATCCAGGAATTATTCTTACGTAAAATTTGTGACTGGATTCGTAACGTTGCATTTGCCTGCTCTTTCAGCACTATAATTACGAAGAGTCTCGACATCGCACGCTGCAGCAGTAGACCATATTAATTGATAATGGCAATCTTCTCTCCCACGAATGTATTCTGGGGGACCCTGATAACAACAATGTGAAATTCATGAAACGTATTTCTTTTATATATTTGCTTTTTTACATATAACATTTTGTTATTAGCTACTGCCGTACCTTAGCTTCCAAATTACATATAAACGTGATGGTTGTTTTAATATGAGAAGTTGTAATATTTTCTGTGCATATCGCACCATCCTGATATTCTATTTGCAATATTCCATTCATAAAAGAAGGGGGGTTTTGTACTTCTCCTAGACTTGAATATCTATAACAGAACAAAAGTGAATTTTTATCAGATTTACATAGAAAAGTTATACATTGTTCGTGTAAAAAAATCAAACTATATATTTGTTGAATGTGTTACATTCAATTTTAATAAAAGATCTACTCGATACCTATTAGATTTTTCAGGATCATCCAAGCAGGCTCCAGATTTAATTGGACACAATGCACCATGTTGGACTATAGATTGGCAGACATTTAACATTATCTTAGGTGACTTTGTTCCATTTTTTATAGGAATAACGTAATTTTCTGAAGCTCTTGTTAAAAGGCTCAGATCATAGTAACGTCCAGCGTTAGCTATTGTACAATTTGTTTGGGTTCTAGGTAAGCAGGCTAAAGCTGTCATCCATACAATGTATAAGTCACACTGTTGGTCACCCTAAAAATTTTTTTTGTCACATTACTTGATCATATCACTCGATCTGAATGCATTTAAAAGGAAAGCTACTTACATGCGTAAATAATTCAGGATATGAATTATTTTCTGCGTTATAATTACAATGCATAATAACTGTCACCGTATAATTGATTCCCGGTAGACAAGTATCGCCAGTGAAGTTAAACGAAATTCTTCCCTGTCCATTATCTATTACTGGAGGAAACCTTCCTGTTTGTGCCAACAAAATTAATTCCTTTATTAGACTTACGATAACATACTTCAATAGATAAATTATATATAATTTAAACCCTGTGCAGTATTACCTATTCCCTTTTCTGTGTTGTTTTTTATTAGACATATTGCGTAGCCATCTTGGTTGTTGCATTTTTTAATTAACTTAGTACACAGCTGCATACGTATCATTTCGTGATCATGATCAATGATAATGTCCTGCTTGTCCGATGACAACTTCGTTAAATTATATATAAAGCTTATGTTATGTTCAGGTACTTCACAAGTGAAGGGAGTGACTGTCAAAACCTAAAATAGAGAAACAATTTATAACTTGTTAGATTAACAATCTTAGTTGAATATTTTGAATGAGAAAAAATGAATAAGACAGTTAAGCAAATGTAAATAATGAAACTTAGGGATCCGATCAATATCGCGCACAAATTGTTGTCTTACTTGTATTAAAATGCATAATAAATATGAAGACAACGTGAACTTATATACATAAAAAGGTAAACACAATTAAATATGCACTTATACGTACAGCTGAAGTAATAGCCGATAAAGTGCAAAGAAAGAGCAGTCCATTCAATTTTGACATCGTTATGGAATCAGGTTTTGCCAATTACATCATTTACTGGAATGTTTCGCGACGCGCAGCCAGCGCAGCCTGAGATACAGAAACAAAGGCGAAAATATCATCGATAAGTTGCGCTGACAGTTCGAATCACATGCGATTATGACACAGCAACAGCGTAATAGGGGGGGACGCCGCCATGTTTTTTTCTGCGTTTATTGTGCTGCCATCTGCTTACAATTCCATCAAGCATCTCTTAGGTCCGTTCGCGTTGCCTGCACCTTCTGCACTCAGAGTCCTCACTTTTTTTCTCTTTTCAAATTGACCGAATATATATTTTATTTCACTTTTAGTGCAAAAATTTTTCAAGTAACGCCAAACGAGTCTGCTCTACAATAAAAATTGATCTATTTTAATCGAACGTAAAAAAAATAATCCACTGGGTTATTGTGGATTGTACTTAAAATAAAGTGCAACTACGTCGTGCTTGGATCGTATTACGTCGTTGATATGAAAACACCGCTGCAAATGTATTCTGAAGGACGGATGTGATCGACGCATAGATTGATTATTTTGATGATAAGAAATCGTCTTAGCGTTGAGAGCGCGTTAAGACACATCGCACCACAGATCAATAATTATTATTCGCATTTGCCGATATCCGAGAAAACGGTCTACCAAGAGGAGTAATCTCTTAACGTGTACCTCTGACATTTCGTAATTCCGATGGCACTGACAGGACCCGATTTGTCGAAAGTTCCGGCTCCTTTAAAAGCCATACAGCAATATTTAACTGTCGCGTCGAAGCACGACCAGCGAGATAACGTTGTCAGTTATTGGTGTACGTATAATAATAATATGTCATACATTCTGAACCTTAATTCTAGAGATCCTGAAAATATTTCAGTAATTTAGTAACACAGAGATGAAAACAAATGTTTCCAATTCAAAATTGATGATTGTCAATGTTGACAATTGATTGTCAAGATTGATTCAACGTCAAACTATTGAAAGTTTAACATTTCTTGTCTTCTGCGTTGAAAAGACGAAGAATTATTAAGATTTATGTACAAAACAGGTCGCCTTTATGCTCTTCAAACTGGATTAAAGTTGTCAACCAAGACATCGGAAGAGACCAATTTTCTTCTGAAGCTAATGGACTGGCTGGAAACAACGAAAAAACAGCAGCACGACAACGAAGCTATCACCAACGACGTTGCTGCTCAAGCGCACTTAGAAAATTGGGCGTTGAAGCTCTTTTTATATGCCGACAAGAACGATAGGGCCGCAAACTTTTCTAAGAACGTAGTACAGAGTTTCTATACCGCTCAGATACTGTACGATGTATTGACACTGTTCGGGGAATTGAGCGTGGAGGCGATGCAAAATCGGAAGTACGCCCAATGGAAAGCGGCTTACATTCACAATTGTCTAGCGAACGGAGAAACTCCAGTGCCAGGGCCGATGAAAGAAACAGATGACGAAGATGATTCGAACACAGCTGGGAATGACGATGGTAAGTATCGGCTGTTAAGCCTTACAAATTTGTCAAATTTTGATAAATGTTTTATGGCCGCTAGATGGAGAGCCTGAATCAAATGCAAAACCTGAAAGTCCTAAGGATAATATATTGCTACCAGGCATTCCATCTATTCCTGCAAATCCGCCAACTACAAGAACGCAGTCAGTTGAGTCAGAAGATGATACATATAAAACAGAAAGTAAGTTTCATCAATTTAAATTGATATTTATAAATAAGATAAAATGAATAAGTCAAGTCTGGAAACACAATATTCCAGCTAGAAATGCTTGATCAATTGACATTGCTGGACCAGTGATATCGATGTCGATTCGACTAATTATTTCTAGCGTTGTAGGGGATCATTATTTTATCGGACACAATGATTTTACAGGTGGTACCAAATTGTCAGTTGAGCAAATTGCTAAAGCTCAAAAACTTATCAAATGGGCAAGCAGCGCGTTGGACTATGATGACATAGCTACTTCCGTAATGAACCTTCGAAAAGTTTTGCATCTTTTGACTACTGGCCAGGAACCTGCGTAGATGAACGAAATAGGTAGAAAACGCGTTCAGTAACATCTTGCTTATAATTATAACTGTATTGAATTTGTCGCCTGTATCGCGTATAACGGCATAAAAGATATTTTACTAATATTTCGCAACTTTTACAACCTTTGGGTAAAGATAATAGTAGATGAATAAAAAGAGAGAGATGATTACAATTAGCTAGTCAAATCAACCTCGAATATGGTGCACTTACTGAAAATAGGAATCGTTACAGACTGTGTTTCCAGGTCGTAACTATTGCTGTTTAAGATGAGAGATGTTATAGTTTCATTATACAAGGTCCGGCCAAATAATATGTACAAGCGGATACGACGTGATTCCTTATGGAAAAATAAAAAAATATAGAATAACATTTTTTTAATTTTTGGCTTAGTTTTTGAGAAAAAGTCGAGTTTGAAAATCCGCTGCGTACGCATGTTGTTACAATTAAGGTACGGTTCATCGAGTGACGTATAATGTGTATCGTTTAGAAACAACGCTCTACTACGCCGAACAATCAATTTTCATTTAAATATCACGATGATGAGTTACGTAAAGGGAGTGTCGATATGGTCTAGGCTTTGGAAGCCTGTAATGGTAATTTATTCTACTGTTCGCTATTACAAATAGCGATATACCTAGTAATTGGTGTTTCCGATCGAAAAATCACGTCGAAAAATCAATGCTCGCTTGCACATATTTTTCGGCCGAACCCTGTATTTATTGATAATATTTACTTTAAGAGTATAATATCCTTTGTAATAAAGGCTCTACAGCACCGCTACCTTGTTTTCCAAATAATTTTTATAATATTAATGAACTATTTTTGCGAAATATCATTGTTATTTTGTTAATAAAATTAAGCGAGGATTGAGTATTTAAATGGTACAACTTAATTATTTTGAAAGTAAAAAGTTTTGAATTAGATTGCTTTAAATTAAATAAACGACTTACAAGATATTTAGAAATGGTATATGCTTTGTTTCTACAAGAGCTTTAGGATTTAATAATTATTGATAAACAAACTTTCAACAAAACTAGTTGTATTTTATTTCACACGATATGTACATCTAACATCTCATACATAATATATTTTTTTATATAAACTTAACACTAAATGAGATAATAAATATACAAAAATGTGTGCGTATCAATCTTGTTCTGTCAAAAAATCTCAACATTTCCTTTGAGTTTTTATTAATTAATATGTTAATGTATTAATATATGTTGTATTAATATATAAACCGTTTAAATTGAAACAGTTTATATAAAAAAAAGTTTAATACAATATTTTTTATACATTTCAATAATGTATATATCTTTTATCTCGATATTACATGCAAAAGAAAAAAAAATATATTCTGCTTTTAATAAAAATATAACTGAAATCTTTTCAAATTTAGACGAATGTTTTAATTTATAAAAATTATAAGACTTATATAAAGAAAAATGTTGATTATTTAAATACTTTTGAAGTACATAAATATTCCATAAATTGATGTCATGGTCCAAAATCTGGATATTATTTGACATGAAAACGCAATCATCGTGGGTGTCAAATAGTAATTAGAAAAAAAAGTCTATCTGACAGTTTCAATTTTGGTTTTATTTATCAAATTGTCTGATCACACTCGTTATTCGCACGTAGAGGTTTTAAGAAATAAATTAAAGCTAGTGCGCACATATGTCTCAATTACTAAGAAACATTTTCTATGTGTCCATACACGCACGCTCGCACGGTACATATAAGAGTACATTCATTCAAGTGGCAGTTAGTACCTCGTGCTTAAGCTAGTGTCACTGAGGATTGGTCGCATCAATGTCGATTAGTATTACGCGTAGCAGATTAAATTTCTTCCTCCGTTTATATCACAGCTAGTTTACATTACAGTCTCCTATGATTATATATCAATTTTTTATATATTATGTATTTATAATTATTTATATTTATATTGTGTAACTATTTAATAAGAGTATTTTCAGTTTAACTATTTATATTCTAGTTTCCTATACGTTATTTATAATTATATAACTACTTATATTACAATTGTATGTTTTGTATTATATAGTCATGTGATAGTTATTATATTATGGCTTTAAAAGGGACTAAAAGAGACAAAGAGAACTATCAATTATAATAAATCGACCAAAAATTGATTTATTTTTAAAATTAATTTCACTGATATAGTTAACTAGTTATTTAAATTAATGATCTTTTGTCCCATTTTGCGTCATCTTAACTACGATATAAATAGAGAGAGAGATACAATTTCTTTAATCATGACCAGCGACAATCGACATTGGTGCAGTGGTGTCTTAATGGACCGATACTGCGGGATGAACCACTATCATCAATTAGCGGAAACAATATTTTCCGATCATCGGACCGCAATTGCTATCGATATTAAAACCCAAAGTTTGTATTATAGATTTTTAATTGTCATTAAATTATATTTTTATCGAGGAAAATACACATCGCATATTCGTCGAGTGTTCCACCATCGGCGATAAAAAGTATCCCTTCGTAAGACCTTACGTAACTTCCATTAATTACAAATCTTATTGCGTCTTAATGATACTCGCTTTTTATTCTGCAAACTATATTGCGATATAGTGCAGAGTAATACGTAGAGTGCAACAAAAATTTATTTACTAATCACATTAAAATTGATCACTGTAAGTTATACGTTTCTCATTTTGCTTTCACTTCTGGAGACATACATTTTTTTTACAAACTTAATTCACAAAATCTCAAACGATCATTTTCGTTTTTCCTACATATTTCATAATTTTCACAAAGACACCACTTACTCCCTGTTGAAAATCTTTGCATATAAAAAATTCAAAAAGATATATTAAATAAATGGTGCCTTGAGGTAAAAGTTTTATTTTTAGAAGAATCAGTACGAGAGTCTACGTTTGAAATAAATCTAATCCTCCTCAGAATCAGTGTCCCAGAAATGAAATCGCGGAATTAAGTGGTTTAAGGTGAAAACAAACAATGCGTTTTCCAACCGTAATCCCGCTCAGTCTTGCTTCTTAGCTTTGTCGTCGACACCGTTCGCCGTCACCGATTGCGCGTCTTCTCGCCTGAGCTGCCAGTCAATCACCAGCCGCCCCGTCAGCATAAAGAAGAACACCTGAAAAACCATTTAATTTACAGCTCGTGAAATGCATGCAATAATACCGATAATCACTTACCAATGCCGGGGCGATCCTCTCGAATTTGTCGTTGACCATGTAGTGAGAATACACGGCCATCAGCATCAAGAGAAGCAGCACCGTGTTGGAAAAGTTTTTAACTTTGTCTGGAAGCAATTTACAGATGATTACTGCAATGGATCGGCTCCGTTCATCAAATGCGGGAACTACAAATACGGCAATTGCAATGACTGTATGATGCACAACAATTAAAGGGGGACAGGAGGTTTATATATGGTCAAATTGAAAACTAAATTTGCGCATTTATTTTATAAAAAAGAATAAGTGGACGTAGTGTTTTCCGTTTAGATATTATTATTACATTTGAGACATAGAAAATTTATTTGTACAAAATATATTAAAAAAGTAAATATAAATTTCTATTATATAGGGGTTTTCTCGCAAATGTCGCATCCAATTTAATCATACAAACCTCTTGTCCTCTTTGAAGTTAAGAATTTGTGAGGGATAATAAATACAAAAAGTTGAAAAACTCAATATGAAGAGAAATAGAGAGAAATTTATCGAAATCGAATTTCTGTAAAAATTGAATTTAATATTTAAGGACTTGTGCAATTAAAAGTTGACGAACAGTGCAATATTTGTGATGATAAATGTCCATGACGATCTAATGGTGTCGAAAACTGATGAGATTGATGATACAAAATTAAAAATTTGCGAAATTGATAATTCGGCAGAACAAATAAGGAGGACATTATGATGAAAGAAGGTGGTTGATCTTTTGCACCTACGACTTGGAATAATCGCCATGGCGAGGCCGCAGATAATCTCGAGCGAGCCAACGACTCTCCGATACCACTTGCTGGGCACCTTGAAGTCAAACGTTCCCGAGAGCGGAAATACTTTTGCGTACTTGACATATTCTTTCCTCTGAAACAAAAAAAAGACCTATTAAAATCCTGATAATTCTCTTCAGTAAACATTGAAAATAAAAAGATACAACTGTTCTACTTAATTATGCCTCGAATTACTCAACGATGTAATGTTCGCTGATGAATTTAATACGTTATACAATATTTCTTGCCAAACATTTAAATAATTTTTCTTTTAACAAAAATACAAAAGTAGTTTTCGAATTGTAGTTGATTAAAAAATTCTGGTCGCGCTACAAACAAGAGATGTGAATAAATAACAAATCATATTTTTCACTTGATTTTAGGTAATTTCAATAGAGAATTAAATTATTTTAAATATCTTATTAAAAATATAGCTGTTTGATGGTAATAGCTATAATAAAAAAATTCGAAGCGTACAATTAAATGTCGATTAAGAAAAAAATTATTTCAGATCTCAATATATAAAATATGTACATCTCATTGTTCATCTTTAAAGTGACTGTTATTGAATGCTGTTTTTACTTCACAATATTTACATAGTGACGAAATAATCGAGAGCCCGTTTTGGCAGCCCCAGACAATTCGAGAACTTGAAGAAAACCTGACTTGCTCCAATACTCGAAGTATATAAATATCATTCGCCAGTAACTTAGCGAGCTTATTGGCGGTTGACCAAGCAATCTGCACGAGTTTACCTTAATATCACTTTCGTTGGGCAATGTCGGAGATACTGAAATAGCGGAATGACACATCGACGGTCTGCATTTTACATTAAAATTTTACATTAAGGTGTGATTATTAAACACGCAACAGTAACATTATTTCGTTAAGAATATGTATATGTGTATATATATGTATGTATGATATGTATATACATGTATATGTATGCGTGTATGTACAGTCGTGGACAGATCGGTTGCGACACTTTTTTCTATACGTTTCTAATATGTATTTAATATACATAATATATATTTTATAGGTAACTAATATTTTGCAAATGCGAACCACGATGCACTATCTTTAGTCTAGAGACAGTATAACACCAATCGTGATTCGCATTTGCAAAATATTAGTGCGCTTTGAAATCTATAAAAAAAAAAGTTGTTGCAACTGATCTGTCCATGGCTGTACATATGTATTTATGTACATATATATATATATACATTTCTGTACTTTGCAAAACAAAATTTGCATTTTCACACGGAATTGTATAAGAAATGAAAGATCGGCTTTCAACAAAAGTGTGAAAATGTAACAATCATGAAACATTTATTATATTTATTACAAATATTAATTTATTGATTAATGATATTTATTATTTAAATATTTCAGATTCAATGAAAGTATGCTCTATTATTACGCGTTTCTACGTAACGGTATCAAAGTTTAATCTTTAACATCGCGCTACATATTGTCATACCTCGTGTACATTTATCGAACGCGCATTTTACTGTGTGTATTTTTATACCGTCTATAACGAGCTAGACAACACGGTATGTACGTGTCGCACTTTACAATCGACCAGGTTTCAAAAAATTGTTTGGTTATTTTTTTCCAACGCCCTTGGCCTCGTTACGACCGACACTCTCGCGATGATACCGCTCGCGATACAATTTGAGTGGTCGGTCTTAATTGACATTAAGGAGGAGATTACAATTCCAAAATCATAGAGAAAAATTACCTATCTATCTTTATATTCATTTTTTTCAGTTCTAAATCAATAATATATCAATCATTTTTTTTTATTCTTTTTCTTATATGATTGACTACATTTTTGATCGACGTTTTTTTTTCTAAATAAACTGCATTTGAATTTTAATTATGATATGAGAAGAGTCATTTTCTTCGTGTAACTTTAATTATTCATAATTTATAATAAAATTATAATCTTTAAAAATCAAAACGAATAAATCATAGTCCAGTTGTTTCTGAAGAAACTGAAAAAAAAGTTACAAAAACCGGTTCGCTACATTCCAAGAGAATGATGCGCAAAGTTCAAAAAACATGATTTGCAGGAGAGCGCTTTGAAGGTCTTGTTGCTATTTGGCATCGCTACCTCGCATTCCTTGCAACGATTTATTCTCTTTCTCTTCGTCTATTTCAAATAAAGACAACAAGATAATTTACATTAATATAACAAAATATATTAGAATAATGTAAGACATTGTAGGAAGTAAACTTTCGAAAAATAAAAAGAAATCAAAGTATTATTTTTGTTCATATTTCGTTGCGTGTTTATGTTATTCGTTTCAACCTGATTTTTACTGACATTTTTACGAACTTTTTATGACCTTTTATCATTTTTATTCATAGTTACAATATGTAACTAAGTTTGTAAGATATATAATTTTAATGCTACTTATTTTCAGTATGAATTTTCGTAGTTATTTAGATAATAGAATACTGGAAAAAATACCATCATGAATAATTTAATTTAATGAAAACTATATCATTAGAAATTTATGTATAATTAGAAAATTCGTATTTTATCCGACACACGCGATATATATATAGGCACTGCTTATTCTAACTCACGCAAACAAACTGCAACCTGTTTGTATAGGCACGTTCATTTCATTAAATCATTTTATATAGCTCAAAATATGCAGAGAAAATAACTAACTCTTTTTATACAATTTTTTAAATAATTATTTTGCCCTTTAATTCGCATTAATTCATCAATCCTCATTGCCCAATGTTGCGCTCAATTGGGAAGATCAATTTTCTCCATTTCTCTATTTCATTTTTAATTAAGGTTGATTCTAACGCCTATTATTCTATTTCTTTTCGTAAAATTATGTCCATTATTTTGAAAAAATGATCGCCGGCAGTGTAAAGCCACTGTAACGTCACTGTAAAGCCAGGAGCCGTTCGACGTGTGTCAACCTGTGGAACATCGGTTAATAATTCGTTGGATCAATCGCACCTTTCGTCGCATTTTTTTTTTCTGAAGGAAGGAAACCACGACTGATGTGCGCCCAAACGTTAACCCGATAAACCCGTAGCGCCACGTGAACCGTGTCATTCGTATTTGTCGTCGAGTTTTTCATCTCTGGAGCGTTAACAATCCGGAAATTATAAGCACACCGTGGGAAGCGGTGCCGGCAGCTTATTCGGCTGACAAGGGAGAAACGCCGTGTGTTGTAAGCGCGCGCGCACCATATAGCGGCGCGGAACCAAAAGGGTAGCGGTGGCATAAGCTCGGAGCACGTAAACCGTTACATAATAAAGCCGGGCCGTGACAGACCGGACGGATACACGCGCGGGGCGGCTTGCACTCGGCGTTACTCCACTTTGGCACCGATCGTCACACGACGATCCGCGAAATTACATAAGGCGAGAAGACACATACGTGACAAATGGCGTCCAGTCTGTCAGTCTGCTAGACAGCCCGACGCAGTTAAATTATTTCCTTTTTATTTAATGATTTTTTTTTATTAATTATTAATCAGTTAAATGATGAAACATCATTTAATAACAATTTTGATAATTTTGTTATGTTTTATGGTATATTTTTGTGGATGAATCAACTTGACGGTTGCAGGTTGAATATACACGAAGAATTATTGAAATCTAAAGCGAAATCTTAAATTTATCGATCGGATGAATTGTTGATTTCAAACGTAATAATTGGCGGTGGAAAGGCCGCACGAAAACTGTTGATTTCAAAGCTTCCGTGCGGCATTTTACTGCCAATTATTACCAATTTACCTTAACTAATAATTAAATTAATTTATACTCGTATAGTAATTTAAATTAATTTAGTAACTATAAGGTACACACAGAATTTAAAGCAATTATAAAATAGCAACGATAAATGCAATACTAATTTCAGAGATTAAATTAGTTTTCATCATTTATCGTCAACCTCGACGCTGTTAAACATAATGACATCGAGATTACGACATTAAATCGAATCAGTTGCCAATTTCGACAATGTTAAACCGCAGCAGGCGGTCACTTTATCAGCTTCATGTCTCGTTGGAACTTATTAGTCGCATTCGCCATTGCTAAACCTAATCATAATTTCAACTATAACGATACACAATCGATTTCGATAATGACTATAAATTTGATCATTTATTGAGTCGCCAATATCGTTCCTGTACATAATATTATACGCAGAATATTGGTCCCGTTAAATGTCGCGCAGGCAAGAAGGAGGATCAACCCCTTCGCTCGCGGACGACTTACTAGATCCTTGTGCAGGTCCTTGCTGATATGCGACGTCAGCTTCATGGTGCCGACGAAGACGAAGAATATGCCGAGGAGCACCGAGAGCGACTTGAGCACTATAGAGCCCATCTTGACGATCCCCGGGGACGATCGCGCGGATTGCGTGCGGAAAAAACGCCGCCGATCGATTATCGCCGGAAGCGTACGCGGCGCGGACGGCCGCGACTGAGCGCGGATCTCGCTCTCGTCGTCGGGGTGGCGGGCGGACCGGCGGCGAGGGGCAACAGCGTCTAGGAGCACATGCTCGCGCGCGTCGCGATTCGAGTTAGAAGCACGTTAGTGGGCGGCCGTGGCGGCGGCGGCGACGGCGACGACGTCCACGGCACGGGTCATCCCGACGTCCTCTGTGACTGGAGCGAAGCGCGGTCGGCGCGACGCGACGGCGCACCAACGTGTCGCCCCTTTCATCCCCCTCGATCCCCGGCCGGTGACGTCAACGGCCGACGCGCGCGTATCGGCGTCGTCGCGCCGGCTATTTTCTGATCGATACGCGAAGCCGCGGTCGCTTCTCTTTTCCGCGCTAATCGATCGTAGGAGATGCCCCCGCTTAGGCCCACTTCGACCGAGCTCCGATTAACTGAAGCACGTTGATTGTCATTGTAAAATTTAAAAAAAATCCTTGTTTTCGTTGTCGTTTATATAAATAAAATATATATTTTAATATGCTATTTATAATCGTATAGCTCGAAATTTTACTATAAGCAACTCTGCCGATTGAGTTAATTGCCGATCATATTAATTGGAACTTGAGTCATTTTTATTATATCGCTCATTTGCTACAAACATGATACAACTGAAAAATTGTCATTTTTTTTTAATTACTAGCAAAAAAGAACGAAAACATAAAGAAAAAAAGAAAAATATATTTTTAAAATACATACTTTTATTCCTCTGTAATCAGTTATTATATCAAAATTGCATTTTAAAAATAATATTAGTAAAATTAAAAGTTTCAATGATTCGAAACATTCAAATTTATTTTCGGAGAAACTTCGCTTTTTGAATTGTATCGTTGTTGTAGCAAATGAACGATATAACGACGCAACAGACGCTCGACAAACTCGAAAAAGCAATTTCTAAGTCTAATTACTAAGCCAGTTAAAATAAACAAATCTAAATGAGCAGAAAGAAGGTACCTTATGACAAAACTAAATTATGATTTCCTGTAGTATATTTTGCTTCTGTCTTCTGCTCCAAAAATATGTGCTTCATTTTTCCGATTTTCTTATCTGTTTCTTATCTCATTGTCTCTAACTAAATTAAATTGATCGTCCACACATCCGCATGCGTGAAGAGAATGATATTCGAAAGATTAAAGCTTGAGACAAGGAGACTAACTGAAAAATATCGTATCACTTTGCACGCTCAACTACTCCCTGTTCTCGACTTCCCGCTTATAAATATGAATCCAGCTTTATTGATGTCCCTTATAAGCGTAGGAAATGTACAATGATTATTTACATGTTGCTTTTGCAGTCACTCGTGATATCCTGCAGGCACGCGGCTTCAAAGTAGAATCGTTGTCGTTACAATTGTTAATGACGGAGGACGTTTTCGCTACATTCGTGTTCATCAGGACGGTCATAGACGCGTTACTGTCGGTCAGTGTCACGGCCTTTCGGCGATGCGAAATCAATATCCCTCTGTTCTGCTGGTCCTTCTTATTCTTCACTACAGACGACACTGTCCTCTTAACACCAACCGATTGAACATCGACTGTTTTTTCCACTTTCGTTTTCTTTGACGTCGCTGCATGCAAAGTAGCTTCACCGCATTTTGATTTCGAAGATGGCTTTTGAACTGCGTCAAGATCAGAGACGGAAGAATTCTGAACATAATTATGATCGCTGAGGCACACTTTGACGTCGCTTTTGTTTGACATCTGATGAAAAGTCTCACTTTCGATTGGTGTTTGACTTTCGTCTCTAGCCTCAATATCACAATTAGCCACAGCCTCCATTTTTGCGACAACTTTAGCAGTAGAAATTCTTGATTCATCGTCAATTTTATGAATATTATTATCACTATTGAGATTATTCACCTCTGTGATTTCAACAACACTTTCAATATTAGGTTTGCTTATTTCTTCCTTTTCAGTAGCTCTTTCGATATTAGAATCGTCTATTTCTTTGATTGTAGTAACACTTTCAGTACTGGAATCAGTCGTTTCTTTGATTTTAACAGCAGTTTCAGTAATAGAATCCTTTGATTTTTTATCAGCGTTATTTTTGTCATTATCGTTAATATCACATACTTTTTCAATTATTCCGATATTCTGAGTAGAATCTATTAAATTAATGTGAGATTTGCATTTGTCTTCATCCTTTATACAATTATGTACTTCATCAACTGCCATATCACTTTTATTAGAATTTAATTGAATTTTTTCTTCTCCGCAGTCTTTTGAATTTTCTTGCAGAAGATTTGATGCTATTACTTTTGTACTAATATCCGCCGCTTCTAATTGTTTTATGCTATTTACATTGATTTGACGTGGTACTGATTTATCATCTATGGATTCATTCACAGAACCTTTACTTTTATCTTCAACTGGTGCAATTTTTACATTATTTTCTTCAATTTTATTATCTTTGACAATTTTTGCAGATTTATTTTTGTGCGGACTATCTAAAATTTCACCTTCTTCCAGAATATTTAAGTCTTCCTTTACAGATGTGCTTTCTGCTAAATTTACAGATTTAATTTCTGATTCATTTTTCACTTTATGTTCAATATTTTTTCCAGCACTGTAATTTACCGTACTATTTACAATTGTTCGACTAGACAATTCTCGTAAATTAGTTTCCGCTGCAACTTTATTACTTTCGGGCAATTTTTTATCATTTAAAACGCTTTCCTTTTTTATTCTGCGATTTTCGTACTTCTTATTCTTGTACGAGCTACTGCTTTCCTTGTCTTCAGGGTCGCTCGATGAGTATCTGGATTTATCCCTTTGATCATCACGTTCTCTACGCCTATATCTCGTTTTTCTATCATTTTCCTCTCTCTCGTTCTCGTAACTTCTCTTTAATCTATCGTTTTTGTATCGGTTATCATACTTATAGTCATCATATTTATAATCATCATATTTCTTTTCCCTGTATGTTCTACTGGGCCTTTCACGCAAACGATGACTGCTCGAACTCTCGTAATCGCTCCTGCTTCTAGAGTAACTTCTTCTCGACGGACTGTATCTGTGCCCGTTCTTCTTGTAACCACTGTTAAATCTTTCCGAGACATGATTTGACCTCGAAGCCGTCCGAGAATTTCTCGAACTATCGGCGAGATCGTTTCTGGCATTAAAACTGTCATGATCCTTTGCTGAATTACTTTTCGCCTCGCTTCTGCATTCGTTTGTACAATCTTGATCCTGTTTCGTGTCTCGGTACTCTGAGGAAGCTCTATGTCCATCGTAGAACGGAATTTCTTCCTTCTTATGAGAATGTGTTGCATCCAGTCGATCTTCGAATTTTACGAGACTATCTTTCATCTCGTATTGCGCAGGATTGTCTGTTAGGTCGTACTGTGTAAGATAATTATAATCGGTTACTTCGATCGTGGTTTTATCTTCAACTTTTATACGCTTATGTCTATGTGTATCATTTTCTTCATTCGATCTTTTCACCGAATCCTTTCTGCACGGAGGTTCTGCAACAAGATTGTCCTCTGATAAATTACAATATTTTCAAATTAACGTTTATTATTCGATTATCTTTAATCATGCCTGCGTATGGAAAGTATTCTAAAACTATCTTCAAAATACAAACAGATAAATAGTAACAGGCAGATATTTAACAAGCACAACATAAATTTTTTAATATAAAAAAACTAAAAATTCTTGTCTTACGTTAGATAAAAAAAAGTTAAATAAAAAATAAAAATTAAAAATATCTTTAACCTACCTGAATTAGAACGTTCGATATTAGACTCATTGTCGTTATTTACACCAAATTGAGATCCATTCTCCTTATCGTTTTCAACAACGTTTTCTTTAGAAATGTCATTTGTTTTAGCTTCCGCATCAAGCTTTAACAGAGCTTTTTGCTTTTTCTCTTCCTTTTCATCCTCCATAATTCTCTTATGTAGTCTTTGCCCAAATACCGTAGGTATCCGGTTGACATCAGTCTGTGGCTTTTTACTTTTATATTCGTAATGGAATTGAATTTGATGCGATTCAGTTTCACTATCTTGTGAATGCATCGAGGAAACGTTTTCATAGTTTCTAGATTGATGTCGTAATCTATAAGTAGAAAAACCTACAGAGTTGTGGCCCCTTCTAAAAGTTACGTCGTCCAATCTGTAAACATTTTGATAACATCAGAAATAGATTTACCAATACTACAGTTTATACAATTAACTTATACAATTTCTACCTTTTCCTGAGATCATCTATCATCTTGTCCTTCCGTGCAATTTCGGCTCTTGCAGTTTTAAGTAAAGAAGACAGATTGTTCTCCAAGTTCGTCTTGATCCTCTGAATATTTTCAAATTTACCTACGAGCAAACTAAGCTCTTTCTTCAATTCCTTGCAGTTACAGTCTTGGTCCTTAATAACGATTCAAAAAAGCATCAACTTATTATTTAATACATTTTACATCAGTATATGTTATTTAGAACTCGTCTTCTAACATTTATATTTTTATAACTCTTTACGTATTCCTTTAAATAGTATACATTTATTATATTATATATTACATTAACTGATTAAATTAAATTAAAGACAAACTACTTAATCTCCGCTCGAGCGAAATAATTTGAAGCGCAGGTTAATATGTATATTAAAGATTCATTTAAATTTGATAAAAAATAATGTTCTATATTAAATACGTATAAAGAGAGTTTAATATATGTTACATTTAAATGTTGTTGTGTTTGTAACAACATAAAATAGTATATAAAACTACTTTAAAATGTATATACTATTTAATAACAGCAAACAAATAAAATGATTCTCATGTAATAAACATTAAACAATGAATTTAATAAATGCAATATATTATAATACAAACGTGAAATACAATTCAATCAAAGAGTATAAAACAGCAAAACATAGGAATATAATTTCATGGCGGGAAATGTTTTATAGGTTAGACTGGCGTATGTGCAAGTTACGTCATTTATTAAGTTAAAATTGAGAGCACTATCTTATTTTTTAACGAGTATAAACATATGTAACTTAGTGTACACCACTTTAGATCTTTTACAAACTTTATAATCCTTGTGAAATAGAAAAATAATTATATCCTTTTACGCAAGTATGCAGCGTACGCAAGTATGTAGAGTCGTGCAAGAGAACGTTGTTACGCTAACCAAAATTAATATTATCGTGATTCTCACATTTTTCTCGGGATTCAAAGTGAAACTCGGTAAATCCGCATAAATATCGACGTCATCCTCCATCTTCTGCGATCGTTTGTCATACCGAGACGATCGTAATGCTTCAGACGTATATATACGCAGTACAAAGAATGCAGTTAATCACACTGATCACAGCTGTTTCCGACTGTACTCCTTTTTCCTAGAGCACGATCAGCATGACATTCATTGCACTACGTGTAGACCGTTCCTTATAGCCGCATATTTTGCGATTCTCATCCTTTATTTTCTCTTTTCAACATTCACACAGGATGATTTCAATACCTTTCCACCTTTCATAAACTGGAGTTTTCACTCCCACCACGCGTACATACATATACATATCCATATATATGTATGTACATTTGCCACATTCCCACATGGCCTTGCGTGGAGTAAAAAAGAGTATGAAATATAGAATAGGATATATATATATTTTTTTTGTAAAAAATATATATGTATGTATATATGAATGTAAAAAAAATGTATATTATATATATCAATATATATTTTATACATTCTATATTTTATTCTCTTTCTTACTCCTCTCTCTCTCTCTCTCT